AGGGTGGTGTGAGGACGTGAGATGGACGGCATTTCAAGAGCGAGGCTAGATTACAACGCGAGAGAGGGAGGAATGGAGTTTTAGAGTGGGGAGATGGCGTCGGGCGTGGTCGAAGTGGTTGAAGTGGATGCGGCTTTTTCGGCTGGACGCTTGTTTTCCGCCCCCTTTTGCTGGGTGAGGACGCCCTTGACGATGCGCGCGATGAGGGTGCGGCCCTCCCAGAGCGGCAAGAACGTAAAGATGAGCAGTGCCGCAAACGCCCAGATGATCGCCACGACGACCCATCCAGTAAAGAACTCTTGCGAAAACTCGTACTTTGCGGCGTACATGATAAAGGGCCAAAGCAACCAGACGCCCACAAACAGCCCGAGCGCCGTCCAAGCGGCGATCTTACTCTGGCGCTGCATGTACCTCCTCTCCGCATCGGTAAAAGCGCCCGAGTCCGAGTGGGTGGGTGTAGCAATCTCCTTCTCCTGCGGGATGGATGTCTGGGAGCTGTTGATCGACGAGTCGTCCTGGATCAGTCGGATCTCGCTAAACCTCTCCCAGTTGAAATCGGGTTCGGGGCGAATCCACGAGATCAGCGGCGACAGGATCGCGGGTACAATCGCAGCGACGATGGTTCCCCACATGCACGGCAGTAGCTCTCCCGTAGTGGTGACGTTGAGAACCCCATTGCCGTATGCGGAGGCGGTAGCAAGCCAGGTGGCAATACCGGCGACCATGCCGACGATGGGCGAGATGACGGCAGCCCACCACGTCTGTTTCTTCCACAGCACCGTCAGTGGAAGCGTCACCATGGCAGGGCACGTGATGAGACCCAGGAAGTACAGCGTCCACGTGAGGCTGATACCGATGTAGTAGAGCATGGTCGAGAAAGCCGACGCAAAGATGGCGAATCCAATGCACGCCGCGTGGCTAACGCGGATCACCTGTCGATCAGTCGCATTGGGTCGGATATACGTATGGTAGACATCCGACGATACGATCGACGACACCGCAATCAGTTGTGCCGACGTAGTCGACGTGACCGCCATAAAGATAAGAATCACCACTGCCACTGCACCACCCTTGCCTGCTACAGCCAGGGCGGTGTAGGCCAGTGGAAGTCCGGCGTTCATCTCGGTGGTGCTGAGTTTGCGTCCAAAAGCGGGCCAGATCGGATTGGTCTGCAGCGACAGCCCCGCCAGCCCCATGACCGTACCCAAACACCACGGCAGCCCAAAGTACAGCACGCCACCCAGAACGTACCCGGGCACGGCTGCTGCCACATCGGCCGAATACGCCTTCTGCCAGTAACTCGAATCCAACGCCACCAACCCCGCATTCCCCAACGTATGCAGAATCCCAAACTCCACCGCACCTTTACTCGTCATGGTCAAGATGCTCCCGTTATAATTACCCTCGATCGGATTGGCCACATTCGCCTGCTTAACAAGCTGCCACAGATGACCGGGGGACTGCACTGCATCATTGGTGATCGTCTTGAGCGTGAGGAAGAGCACGATGATGAGCAGCGCAACCGAGTGCATCCAGTCGGTCAAAAACGTCGCCTTCAACCCGCCACTGATCGTGTACAGGCACACTCCCACGGGGAGCAGGAACGTCGATGCAATGATGTGCATCCCCGTCAGCGCTGATACTGTCGCCGAGGCCCCGAGAAGCATGTTGGCCACCGCAATCGTGTTGTTCGCCAGGCAGAAGAACATGTACACCCAGTGCGCCGCCGTGCCGTATCGGACGCGCACGATCTCGAGCACCGTATGCGCATGTGGCGTCTTGAGCTTACTCTGAATCGCAAGCAGCGCAAACGCAGAGATCTGCACTAAACAGCCCCCGGCAAACCACCACGCACCTGCTACACCGTACAGGAAGGTCACTAATGACGAGGAGAGGAGGGCGGTGGACCATGCCCAGGAGGAAAAGACGGCGGTGGCGGTGAGACCGGTGCCGATTTTGCGGCCGGCGGTGGCGTAGGTCTCAAAGTGGGCGTTATTTTCGCCATTGAAGCGCCACAGCAGACGCGTGATGTAGAGCATGACGAGCGCGAATGCGAAGCCGAAGCCGAGCACCACGCCGTATCCGACCCCTTGGCTCAGGGGCGGCGGGATGCTGTCCGCTGCCATCGTGTCGATTTTTTTCGCGCGGTTCTACACTGTTTGGCGGGATTTTATGCTGTGAGGTGGAAGCAGGCCTCCGGTTTGAGCGAGGGGAAGCAAGGCTGCCAAAATGAGCCTCGATGACGTGGAAGGAATGGTTGTTGAAGAAGGCAGAGCCGGTGAGGAGGAAGAAGGGGGGGGGGGTTATCGGGTTGGACACTCTCACGTGAGCTGACGTTCGATTAGATGCGTTTTATTATACTCCCCATGCTTTGCGTGATTATTTTCGTGATATTGGTCGTATGGTTCTTGGTGCCGTGGGTTGTTAGGCTAATGATTCGCACGCGGACTGCTATCAGTAGAGGCGGGTTTAAGTTGGAGACAAGGTCTTTTATCGGACTTCTGCACTCTGTGTGTGGCGCACAGATCTCGTTCTTCTAGCCGCGATCCATACACGTACTCTCATGCACGTCCGCTGTGTAATCTCATCTTCATTCCTTCCTCGCCGTGCCATTGCGGCGGGAGACCGGGAGGGGATTCAGGCACCATCTACACTGTACCAACGCAACTTGCAAACACCGAGCATCTCGCTTGCCAATCTAGCCGCATCTTTGCCCTTGTACCAGAGCAGAACGAGTCCGATCTAGTGCGCTATGGCTTGCGAACACCGCCGAGTGCATGGCGTGCACCGGCGTCCGAGCAGACCCGACCAGAGCTCGTCTTCTTCCGCTGAGCCGCACTTGCGCGGACGGCATGGAGCGCGTACCGACCACTGGACACACTTTGACTCACTTTCTTCCGTCGCTGCCGTAGCTGAGCGAGGACGGACAGGTCTCCGGATGGGCTTTGATTGCGACAAGATCCTCTTGCGCGCAGTGAGGGCAGGCCAACGTGGGACAGAAGCACATGAAAGCCGTGGCAACGGCGGTAGCCGAGTCTCAAAGCTGCCGCTTCCATCACCGCACTACAGCGGAAAGGGGAGGATTGGGGGTACAGGAAGGCTACGAAGTGCCAACGGAGCGGGGACACATGCGGGAATGAGCACGGACAGGTTTGACGTGAGATCGACAGGGATGGCGAAATCCCGTTGGCGTTGGCGCAACTTGGCAGCTGGCGGCGGCGCCCTGCCTGCGGCCCCCGCGCGGCGACTTTTCTGGCTTCCGCGCCCCGTAGAAAATTTCCGCTACCGCACCCTGTCAAGCCCCACATCGCCAGCATCCGCCCGCTTCCGTTCTCGCAACAACGCAGCACCTCTCCGCCTTGACCATCTCACATTCACTATTGGCCTACTAGAAACCACACTGTGCCCCGAGAATGCGCATTCTACATCAGCTGGCGGACAAGTCTCGGGGAAACACGTTCTGCGCGCCACACCGCGCTTTGGCGGCTAGGCAGCTAGCTCGGAACAACGTTGCGGGAGATGATGGAGATCGCATCACAGATAGCGAGCGGGGTCCAACAGCACGTCATGCCAGTGTGCCACCATGTGCACCTTTCAGAGCCGCTCAAAGCGGCAAGTTCCCCACCATCACGGCCGATGGCAAGCCCACGTTTTTGCCGAAGCATGCTCGAGAGCGGGCTAAAATTGCACGCCATCGCGTGTCCGCTTCGCGTCAAATGCAAAACTCACCTACGCTCGTCAAGCAAATCTCAATAGGTACGTAGTCAAGGCCTACTTCGTCATCGTCGGGGGTTTAGCTCAGTTGGTAGAGCGTTCGCTTAGCACTTGTCTAAATTGCGAAAGGTCGCGTGTTCGACTCATGCAGTCTCCAGAAATCCTTTCATTTTTTATTTTTTGCTTTTTTTTTGGTTGGCCAACGGTGTTTACTGTGGTTCTTTTTCGCCGCCCGCAACACCATGATCCGAAGAGCGAACGGCTGCGACAAGCAAGCGGCAGACCAATGTGTGTCCGCGTAACCGGCGACGAGGCGACAGCGAGCATCTGCGGCAGGCGTCTCGGCTGGCAAAAGCAGGTACCGCGTCGCGATCAAGTCAAGTTTCCCGTTTCCTGACCATGCTGAACCTTTTTCACCTCGGCAACTTGGCACCGAGCAGACGGTGCTTCGGGGACATACTTATGACATCGGATCGGTGGCTTGGTCAGGTCAAAGCAGGATCCGATGGGGGCCGAGACTGCGGTGTGCATCGGCGGCAGGCCCCCCTCCGGATTTGCGGGAAGGCTGGCGGAAAATTTTGGCCGACACGTCAGATGCGACACGTCAAAAAGCGCCGTCCTGCATGAGCTGCTCACCACTCTCGGCACTGTGCACGCTCAACCTCGTGCGACTCGGCACGGCGCAGCGCGAGACAGATGCAAGCAGCCACTGCTTGGCATCACGGAGGGAGTGAGAGTAGAAGATACTCTCGGCGGGGAGGTGCAGTGCCGGGCGCAATATGCTTTCGCCTTCGAACGAACTGCACTGCACGTGTGTCGGCCCACGCCGGCGCTCCGCCGCCTAGCCCCCTCCATGCAACCCACAGCGTGCGAGGTAGAAAGCAACTCAACCTCTCAGCAAAGACTTGCTTGGTTCGGTGCGGTTTCAGGCACAGCTTGGGGGTGGAGGGACCCAACTTCCAATCGTGCGCTTGGGGGGTAAGCAAATCGCAAAACATATAAGACCTTGACCAGGCACGAACTTTATCGATGTCTCTTTGTTGCGGCCCCCTCTTTTTTCTTGGTGTTCTTGTTCTCTGCGTCCCTATTGATTTCTGCTCCTTCTCCTACGTCCTTTTCTGCATTCCATCGTACAAGGCTCTGGTAGCCTTTCTTCTTCTCTTCGGACTTTCTCGAACACGGATTTTGCAAAGAGTTGGCGATACTGGTTTATCGCTGCTTCTTCTGCCTCTCTCTACACTCTTCGACTTTGACAGTCGGCCTTCCAACAAAAACAGCAAGGAAATATGGTGGCTACGACCAAGTTCACTTCTCTCGTCGGTAGCGTGACGCTCGCGCTGGTTGTGGCTAGCTCGTTGAACGCCGCACCGGTGCTGGTGAGGCGCGACGATGCGGCTGCGCCGGCGGGGTACATCAGTGTGGCACAGCCGCAGATGACCGAACAGGACATCTATGCGGTTGGAATCCCCGATGCTCCAGCTGCTACGCCAGCGGGTGCGACGTTCGCACAGGTGATCCAGGCGGCCGCGGAGGCTGCACTGGCCAAGTCGAACCAGACCATGAACGCGGTCAACACGTACGACCCCACTCCGGCACCGGCTGGTGCGGCCCAGACGCAGTCGCAGGTGGCTCCCGAGTCGAATGTCGCTGCGGCACCGAATGCGGATGCGGTGCTGGCGGGTAATCCGGATCAGGGACAGGCGTTTCAGCAGGTGATTGGAAATTTGGCCGGTGCGGCACAGGTGGCAGAGGGCGATAAGGGGTTGAAGGGAAACCCGGACGAGGGCGACGAGTATAGGCAGGTGATCGCACAGCAGATGGCACAGCTCGGTCAGAAGGCGCGACGTGCCATGCAAGACGCGGTCTGGGAAGCAAGACAGATCCCGCCCCCGCTGGCTTCGGCCGGTGCACCTACAGCAGCACCCAGTACAGCGAGTGTGACGGATGCAGTGGGAGATGCGCCCGACGCCGTCACTGGTGTAACTGACACCGCGACTGGTGCCACCAGCACGACTGCTGCGACCGATGCGGCCACTGGTGTGACCGACACCGCGGCTGGTGTGGCGAGCACCGCGGCTGGTGACACCAGCACGACGGCGGTGACTGATGCGGCGGGCGATGTGCCGGTGGCAGCACCAGTGCCGAGCGATTACGCCTCGCCTCCCGCCCCCATCCCTTCGAGCAACGCTGCTGTGCCCGGTGTGCCTGCTCCTGCGGTACCCAGTCTGCCGTCAGCATCAAGCGTGCCTTCTGCGCCTGCAGTGCCGACCTCAGGACTTCCCACATCGGGCCTCCCCACCTCTGGTGTGCCCAGTGTGCCCACTTCTGGCCTGCCCACGAGTGCACTTCCCACCGGAGCTGTGCCCAGTGCACCAGCTGTGCCCTCTGCGTCTGTCCCTGCCCTTCCCGGCCTCGGCGGCGGATTGAAGGACTCCGACGCCGGAGCTACGACTGTCAACCCATCAAGCCCCTCTGCCTCGCCAACAGGTGACCTTACCATGACGGTTACACTGCCGTCCACGGCCATGCCTACATCGCTGGGAGATCTGGCGAATATCAAGGCCAACGCCAACGCAAACGCGGACGCGATCAACGAGTGGAAGACCATGACCATCCTCGTTCCCGCCGAGGCATTTGGTGGATCCCCCAGTCGCGCAGCCTCAGTATCTGCTGCAACCTCAACCGCCGTCTCTTCATCAGCTCTGGCTTCGAGCAAGGTGATTTCGAGTACGGAAGATGCAAAGGTGACTTCTACCGCGTCGGCGATTGTAGCTGTTCCTACCGACCCCATCAATCTGTCGTCGTTCTCAGCGCTGAAGCCGCAAGCTACGGGCGTGCTGACGATCCCGTTGACGGGGATCATTGATGGGACGACGTATTCGACCATGCTTACACTCACCATCCCCGGTGTAGCTACCGAGACCGCCAAGATCCCTGCAACGGCAACGGCGTCGGCGTCGGACAAGGCTGCAACTGCCACTGCCAAACCTAGCATTACAGCGGCGCCGTCAAAGACGTCCTCCGCCCCACAGTCGGTTAAAACCACTTCGTCCGTCGATCCAAGCTATATCCATCCTGATGATATTCCGCCGCTGCTCAAGAGCTCGATGCAAGCCACACCCACCTCTGCACCCAACCCTACCTCAACCCCAACCGCCGATGGGGACGATGAAGACTGCGAAGATGTCGACGAAACCGACACGGCGCAACCCAAATCGCTGCTCACAAAGGTCTGGGATTGGATGTCCGGCAAACCCCTCGACGAACGCGACTTTGAAGACGACTACGAAGACGTCGACTTCGAAGAGTACTACGACGCCCAAGAGTAAATCCTCACCCCCCCAACTGCACGAGTCCATTACCGCCCCTGAAGATTCGCCCTTCGGAATGGCCCCATTGTAACAAAGACGTGTCTGGTTCCTGGAGAACGCACGGCAGAGCAATCAATACACGCAAGCACAAGAACCCAGTACCCCCCCTTTCAGCTGCGTGAACATGTGTGTGATTGAGCAGGTCGCCCCCCCACGTCCGGCTGCGTGCGAAGAAAACGGCGCGCCAGTACGCAGCTACAGTGAGAGCGCCGCTGTCAACAGCCCGACAGTCTTGCGGAGTAGCAGCGCAGAAGGAAGACTAACCGCTGCTACCCAGTGCAGGTGCAGAAGTGGGCCTGATCAAGATGACGAGGGTCTGCTCAAGAGAGCGGCGTATGTAGATTTGATCTTGACTACTGCAGCCCGTTGAGCAGGCGGTTCGGATCCTGCAGCGCGGTGATCAGATCGACGGCGGCGGTGGGATGGTAGTTCGGGTTGGCCGTCACATCCGCTGCGGCGCCGCCCGGATTGAACGCGCGGAAGAACTCGTCCCACTCGTTGTAGCCCTCGGACGCGACGGGCATCGACGCCCAGAACGCGGCGTCGTTGGCGTTGATCGGATACCCGGCCTGCTGGTGCCCGTGATGCCCGTGGTGCGCGTGGTGTGGCGGGGGCAGATGCGAGTGCACGCCGACGCCAGCAGGCGGCAGCAACTGCGCTGGCGGATGCGCGGGCGGGGCATATCCCTGCGACGCAAGAAAGTGCGGCTGCATTGCGTCCGTGTTCGCCATGGCCAGCTCGCTGGTCGTGCCGGTCGTGCCGGCAGCCGCAGTGGCGGCGCTGGGCATGTGCATCGTCTCGGCCTTGCGGTCTTCGTGGTACATGTGCTGGGCAATCGGCGCTGCATATGACGCTTGCGCGTCGAGCCCAGACTCGTGAACTGCGATCGCTGCATGCTCGCCGTGGCCTCCCGCTGGCGGGCCGCCCATCTGATGCGCATGTCCGTGCATGGATGCACCGACGTCGTTGGCCGGGGCGCCTCGTTGGTCCGGGTCAAAAGCAGCTGGTTCCTGCTTCACCGCGCCGACCGGCTGGTTAGAAGCCTGCGGGTCAGGCTGTGCCACACCGCGTGCGTGCTTCAGGGTGGGACTCAACGGTCTCGCCTGCGCGCTCGCAATACACAGATTGCGCAGAACTGACACGTGGTTCGACGCGCTCTGCCACGTCGGCCCGATCCTCTTGAGATAGCGCACACATTCGGCGAGGTACAGTGCGCTGGTCTTGACCAGCTCAGACGCGCCCTCAAGCTCGGCTTCGGGCACGTGGCGCGCCTCGGACGAGAAGACCTCTGCGCCGTTGGCATGCGCCTCTGCATCTTCCGCGCTCGCACTGAGCTCGTGATGGTCTTCCGCGAGAGGCGCACCCAGCTCACCGAATGCGACCTTGGAGCCGCGCCGGCTCCAGATGGACGACTGGCGTGCCTTGAAGGCGACCACGCTCTTGCTGGCAGCGAGCGCGGCGTGGATGGTGGCGCTCTGGAAGATGAGGTAGACCCAGCTGCTCGAGATCTTGCGGATGCGGAAGGACGAGCCGTAGACATGCAGGATGTCGCACACCTCCTTTGCTGCGGCATTGCAGATGTCCAGGCCGGCGGGACTTCGCTTGTCTTTGGCAGACGCTTGACTGCCTTTCTTGCCCTTCTTGGCTGCAGGAGACTTTGCATCGGATTGCGCTGCGGCGTCGACATCTTCCGATGTGCCGGTGGCATGCTCCTTGGGGCCCTCGAGCAGTTTAGGCACACGCGGTCGGTGGAGCAGGATGAGGCAGGTGCAGTACCACGCGCGCATGGTGAGGATCTGGGGCGGCAGCCCGCGGTGTGGATCCGACTCCTTGCGATCGGCATAGGCGGACTGCGACTGTGCCGAGAAGAGCACGTCGGGCGAAGTCCAGGTGCCGGACCACTTGAGGTGAGAAGGCAGGTCGGCACGCCACTTTGAAAGGCGGTCGTTGAGCCTCAGCAGCGCCTCGTAGTCCGAAGCACCCTTGGTGCGGCGACGATCGCGCTTGGCTTGCGGGCTGTACACCTCCTCGAGGATGCGCTCGAGGATGGCCATGACCTCGGCCCAGGCTTTGAAGCTGCTGAGCGCGTGGACCTTGACGCCTTCAAGCCTGGTCAGTTGACCCTTGTCGACAAACTTGCGCGTGGTCTCGTTGATCCAGAGATCGTACTCGTCCGCCTCTTGCACCGACGGCCAGTCGCACTCGATCTCGGCGGTGCGCAGCTGTGCGGGCTTGTCGAGCGCGGTGGAGAGGATCTTGTCGAGGATGAAGCACGCCCAAAAGACACGCAGACGCTCTTGCAGCTGCGAGCCCGACCTGCGCGCCTCGCTCCTCTCCCCATCTGCGTTGTCGGTGGCGCCGCCATCGCCGTGGATCGACGAAGCAGCCGAGGCTGAGGCTTGAGATGAACAGCGGTGGAGGTTCATGTCGAGCGCCATGCGGCAAGCGATGCCGCCGAACTGAAATGCGCTCGAGGTGTTGCCGCAGCCGAGCTCGATGACGCTGATGAGGATGGCGGCCTGGATAGTGCCGATATCCTGAACGAACTTGCCTTCAAAGATGCGCGCCTTGACGCGATTGACAAAGTGGTCGCGCAGCTCGTTTGACTTCCACGCGAGGTCGAGGCCAAGCGGTGATTCGGCGTAGAGGCCATCGAAGAGAGGATTGACGCTCTGCTGCTCGTCCCCGGCGGCGGTGTCGAGGAAGGGATCAAAGGTGTTGGAGGCGACGGCAAGGATGGCTTCAAAGACGATGGGCCGGGAGCGCTTGAGCGAGTGGAGCGAGGTGAAGGAAGGAAGATAGATGATCGGCCAGTGCGGGTGGACAAAGACCTGGTAGATGTCTAAGAGACGCTGGAGGATATGAGGCGGCAGACGATCCTCGAGATGCGTGCGTGAGGTCGACGGCGGATGATTTGCGGCAGCCGAACCGGGGCGAATGTGGTAGTCAAGCCAATGAGCGCCTGGCGAAGAAATCTGGGAGCGCGGGATGGACGCTGCGCCTCGCGGAGAGGAGGGCTGGGATCCGTTGTACCAAGGACGATGGGGCATGGCGGTGGACGAGGGGCTGTATCCGTGCGAGGGGCCAGTGAAGGCGGGCGAGGTGGTGGGGATGCTGACGTGCGACGAGGTCGAGGCGGCGGAGGGGAGGGGCTGCGAGACACTGCTGCTGGCTGGCTCGGTGGATCTGCTGGCGGAAACAGGATGGCGACTGGCGAGGGTGGTCGTGGATGGTGGCATGGCGGAGATGCGTTCGAGCGGTGATGGGCCCGAGGAGGTGTAGTGAGTGTTTGGGCTTTCGTACAGGGTGCGTGTTGTCTGTGCACGCGGCGAAGCAAAGGTGGATGTGGAGGGTGCGGGGTTGGCTCGAGCCGAGAAGGGAGAGTTGGTCGACCGGTCTTGGTGGGATGCGGTGTCGTAGGATGAGTGAGGCTGCGAGGTCATCGTATGGGGTGGCGGCGGCGGCATGGAGCGATGCGAGCCGACAGGCGATGGCCGGTGGTAGTCGCGAAGCGGAGCTTGGAGGGGATACGAGTCGTACTGATACGTCGAGGTGGCGGGCTGGTCGTGGGAGAAGCGTGCGTCCGCAGGCGAAGAGGAGGAGACGGGCCAAGCGTCCGGGTGATGGTAGTCTGCCTGGTGATGCGAATGCGCATGCTGGCTTGAATACGACTGGGAGTAATGCTGGGTGGTTGGATTGGAGGCAGTGGAGCGGGATGCATGCGTGGTCGACGGATAGGAGGAGGCGGGGTAGGCAGCATCATTTGTAGGATCGCCGTTCAAATAGGTATTGCGCCTCGAGAGGGACGGGCTGGGAGTGGTGCTCGGATGAGAGTGAGCACTTCTTGGCCACGGCAGATGGTCGGCGGTGGAGGAAGAGGGGTTGTAGGATGACGACGGTGGCGGCTGCGAGTGCGTGGCAGAGCGCTCATGTGCGGGTAGCGGAGAGCGGACGTAAGATTGGGACCGTGACGCTGTTGGCTCGGCCATCGATCTGGGCTGCGAAAGCGGGTCCCACTTTGAAGAAGATGAGAGAGAAGACGAAGTCGCGGCTGCTTCTGTCGAGCCGTTGAAGTAAACGTGGGAGTTGGGAGGCGGAAGTGAGCTGTTGAAGCTGGGCAGTCTACTTGGCGATCTGCTGAGAGGAGATCGAGCGTGTATTGGCGATGCGCGAGCGAGCTTTGAAGGTGGCAGTGGTGGTGCTGGAGCCTCGGTGTGTGTGGATGGTTGCGCCTTGCGCTTGGCTGAGGGGCCGACCGAAGGAGTGGACGAGGTGGCTGGCTTGGCATCCGAAGGAGCGTCGGATAGCTTCTTCTTGCGACCGCCCTTGGGTTCGCAGCCTTTGGGAGGGCCGCGCTTCTTCTGAGCGCCGTATTCGCAGAGGGTATTGTCCTTGGAGCAGTTGTTGCATGGTTGGAGGCCGTCGCACTTGACCTTGCGGCGCGAGCAGTGAAGGCACGCCCTGCTGGATCGGATGCGTCCGGATTCTCCCGCGGTGGTGGTGTTGGTCGGCGGGGGCGTGGACGCGGTGGCGGATGACGAGGACGCTGGTGGCGGCGCCGACGCTTTCGTCATCTTGGCGGCGAAGAAAGAGCGTGGTGATGAACGGCGCTGCCGATGGTTGCTCACAAGGCCATAATGATTGCAGATGCTGCGACGGCGAGATCCGGGATGCTAAGCGTCAGCCAGCGTGGGAAGGCTGCAGGTGTCGGTGCGGAAGAACCGACGATGTCGTGCGGCGAGGTCACGTTACCAACGGCCAAGGCGACGGATCTGCAGCGCTGCGCTCTATGTTGTGCGGATGAGCCGATGTTGGACTGAGCTGGTCGGGTGATGCTCGGTGAATAGGGCAGAGGTGGTGGGGTCGTGAAGCTCAAAGTTGAGTCGGCGGCGTGGCTCGAAAGCTTGAGGAAGCCAAGCACGAGGTGTGGAGGAACGCGGGGGCTTTTCGGTCTTGACAAATGCACGCCTGCCGCCCTGACTTGCATCAGATGCGCAGCGCATCCGCATCCGCAGCAGCCGGCACTCGATTTGACGCACAGCCGGGTGAGATCCGGCTAGAATTCGTCAGCGCGGCCAAAAACGCCTTGTTTCGAATCGGCTCAGCCGCCCTCACGTCGGCAGCCCTTCCCCGCAATATCACATCCTCGACTCCAAATGCTTGAGTCTTGCGCACGTTGGAGCTCGAAAGATTGGGAGTGGCAGCAACGTTGCTACAGCGTTATCGATGGTGACCATGCCATGGATCATGCCGCTCACAATGGGGCCGTCCAGCGGTACCATCACGTCACACTTCTTTTTGTGAACGGGCCGCTGCGCATCCGCGCCTTCATCTCGGCAACAATGCCCCGTCCGACCGGCACGGCGCTCAGATGAACTTACTGCAAGCTCACATCAGCAAGTCAGGCGAGCCAACAAGAATATCGATTGATGTCGACCGAAAGGCCAACTTCATTACAGCAGATCCCTGAAAGATTGATGCGGGGTAAAAAGAATGCAAAAAAAAGAGAAGTGCTGCTTACCTGGGTCGAACAGGTGACCTCCCGATACCGTATATCCACTGTAGGCAGTGGCGACTGGTGAAACTGATTTCTTCAGTCGGACGCTCGTACCAACTGAGCTAAAGCAGCAGTACATTGGCTCAGACCGAGATTTGCACACATATTATTTGTCACATGCTTTCAGAATTCTTCTTATGGATACATGGGGCAGAGCAATTTGGAAGCTATTGGCAAGAACGAGATCGCACAGGTGCTGCTGTATGTCGGATGATCGAGTCTGATGGGATGGTGTCGGGGCACACCTGCACTGCTGTTCGGCGACGGTGCGGCCACCCTCCGGGCAAGTCCGAGATATGTCGAGGCAGGGGCGGAGCGCGGGGCACCGACCGCTCAGGAACCTCTCGACGTGGGCGGATAAGCGTACAGCGGCACGGCAAAGCAGCCGAGCCCAAAAATCCAAGCTTTTTGACTCGGAAGCTTGATTCTCCTGGCCCGCACCGAGATCCGAACGCCTGCAAGGACCCCCGAAGCTCGCACGACTCAGCTTCACACTCTCACCTCCTTCATCATCGTCACCGTCAGACGGAACAGCATCGAGCTCGAGTTGCCGCTCTCGGTCCGAGCCTCCTCCAATGCGTTTCACGCGGCACTCTTTATAGCCTTGAACCACGTGTCCTTTCCGCTTCCGCCACCATCCGTAGCATCTCGCGCTCGCCGGCATGTCGTCGGCCGACGCAGCCGACTATGGCTTCAAGCGCTTCCGCGTCGCGCGCGCATGCGTCGTGTGCCGCCTGCGCAAGACCAAGTGCAACGGCGAACAACCGTGCGATCGATGCAAGGCGCACTCGGCCGAATGCAAGTACGACATGATCGAGACGCCCGTGCCCAAACGCATCAGCCGCACCGGCTCCACATCCTCCATCCCAACCACCGCCCACGAGCCTCCAAGCGATGATGGCTCGCCCGCAGACGCCGCTGCAGAAGCACGTGCTGCAAAGCGACAAAAGCGAGCCATGATCGATCAGATCGCAGACAGGCGTTGGGGAGACCGCCAACCGTCGCGGTCCAACTCGGCACTGCGCAAATCAGGATACGTTTTACACCACCTCGAACTGTACGCCTCCATCGACCAGGACGAACCCACAGAACCGGACATGGAGCTTCATACTGAAGACGGCATTCGTGCCCACGATCAGAATACGGGCAATATGCAGTTCTACGGCTTCACCTCAAACTTCAACTTTCAGCACCGACTTGCTCAGACCATCGAGGCGCTGCGTCTGCGCGAACAGCACCAACACGGCGTCCACTCGCGATCGGCATCGAGTGCAACTGCCGACCCAGCGGCGGATAAGGCGAGGAGGTCGTCGCAGCTACCAGAGAGCATGAAGATCTGGGGCCACCAGGACCTCATCTTCCGACAGAGCCTGTCGGAGAAGAGCTTCCCCACGCTGGATGGATCGAAAGACGCCGTGGGCGACTCGACGTTCCTGCCGCCCTCGATCGTGGATCGCTTCATCGAAAACTACATGACGCTCATCCAGCCGCAGCTGGGCGCGGTGCCCAAGCGCCAGATCCTCAAGTGGGTCAAGGACGCAAAGGCGCAGGGCTACCTCTCGCGCGGCTTCCTCGGCGTGCCCTCCATGGCAGCTTCAGGACCAGGATCGCGGCTACATCTGCCGCAAACCACGCCGGGACAGTCGCCGCCCATGCGAACGAACGAGCTGGCGGCGCTGTATGTCGTGCTGGCGCTGGGGGCGATGATGGATGAGGGGGATTGGGTGGATGTGCATGCGCCCGTGCCGATGACGCGCGAGGGCGCCATCGCGTGCGCCACTACGCTCTTCCTGCTCGCAAAGAAGCGCCTCGAGGAGATTGTGGAGAATTCGAGCATTCAGAGCGCACGATGCCTGCTGCTCATGAGCTTCTTCTCGCTCCAGTGGTCGAGTCCCAACGTGGCCTACTTATACATCGGATATGCTGCACGAATGTGCATCTCGATCGGCCTGCATCGCGAGACGTTCTACTCGCCCAGCAATCCGCGCAGTGCCGAACACCGCCAGCTGTGGTGGACGTGCTACGGCATCGAACGCATGATTTCCACGTGGTTCGGTCAGGCATCTGCCATCCGCGATGACGACGTCTCGGCACGTCTTCCCCAACCGGACAACTCGTACGACGCCTATCTTCTAGTGTATGCGCAGATTGCACGGGTATGTGCAGACATGTCCAAATTGTCGGCGAATCCACCGGCGAACGCGCACGATGTGCTGCTCGCATCGGAACGGATGGAGGCTGAGCTGCTGCGCATCCGGCGCGATGCACCTGCCGAACTCGGCGTGGGATTGCGCGACGGCTTTGCGCGCGACGCCGACGACGACTCGGACTCGTCCGACCTCGTAGTACGTCGCTACTCGGTCACGACGCTGTGGTGGTATCTGCGTCTGCTCATCCACAGCCCGCTGGTGATCTTTGCGCTCTACTGTCGATCCATAGGTACCGACATTCCGCGCAGCGTGCTCGATAAGACGCACAACGCCGCGCGTGCAGGCCAGCAGATCATCGACGCCATCTCCAACGCACGATCCGATGTCCCCCGCCCCGGCCTGGATAATATGCGCTTCGGAAGCTTCTACCTCGACTCGGCATGCACCATCGTTCTTGCGGCGATCTTGTGCGATCCGAGCAACCAGGAGGTGGCGTTTGGTTATTTGGCTGCGATTGATAGGGCCATCAAGTATCTCGAAAAGAAGGAGCGGATTTATGCGGATCATGGCACCACGGCGTCGCTGCACAAGGCGAGGGACTTGGTCGTGCTTGCGCGTCAGGTCGTGCGTGCCGCAGCGGGACAGACCGCCTCGTCGCGCGTTAGTGATCACAGCGCCGCGCGGAATCGATCGGCTGCACACGCGGGTGCTGCCAATGGTCACGCAGCAGGTACAGCTTCAACCAGCGGTGGTGCGGCGACAAACGGCGCGTCTGGAGATCTGGCAGGTCGCGTATCCCAGGTAGGCAATGGCCGGCTTGCGTCCACGTTTTCTACGAGTTCGGAGCGTGGTACCGCCTCGGATCAGGATGGCGGACAGGACGAGTACGATCGTGCGCAAGCAGCGACACCGCGCGCCCCAGGCAGCAGTATGGCAGGAGAAAACAGCTCGACCGATCTGCTCGGCGGTACCTCCTCATCTAGCGCATACCGCACGCATGCAACATCAACTGGCATCACACCGGCACCGGAAGCTACACCCACCCCCGACGCAGGCAAGAACTTTGCACACGAGCGCGACGAGTGGATGTCGTACTTCATGTCGAACTTCGACTGGCTCGAGCCGCTCAATGCGTCGGCCGGTCCCGCGCAGGCGGGTGTGGCTGCCAATGGCGATGCTGGCGCGATGGGGATGTCGCCACCATCTCATGTGCCGGGGTCGTTCGCAGCAGGCGCAGGCAGTGGATACGGCAAGGAATATGCGGGCATGTCGATGGGGAGGATGGGTACGGCTGGGTCACCGGCGATGAGCTCGCCGGGAAGCGCGTCCGGGCCGGCATCGCTGAGCGAGCTCGACATAGGACTGCTCATGGGCGGCGTGAGCGTGATGGAGTCGATCCCTGGCGCCAATCCTCCATTGGCTCCCGAAAGCGTCGCAACCACGGCAGCCGCTGATTCTTTCGATGCATAGAAGGCGGCACCAAGAATATCATCCGTCTGCCCAGCGATAGCTAAGCTCAGGTCTGCCTGAGGTGTGACCGCGTGGATTGCAAGCTGAGGACATGTGAGGGCCGAGCCGGTGGGGCTGTGTTGCGAAGACTGAGCCGCGTGGCGGAAGTGAGCGCAGGGCGAAATGCCAAGCCTCTTGTGCTGCGCTGCATTACGCGTGCACCCGGCCCGCAGTCGCGGCTGTGCAAGCCGAAGGGCGCATGGGCGCATGGACCTTCACGCCTCCACTCGGCACCCATCCAGGGCGACTGCCGTCCTTCTCGCCCACCTCATCTCATCTCCTACTCGAGCCTCGCTTTCATCCATCGTTGCACCCACCATCCGCCACTAGCACATTGACGATACCATCCACGCTACAGCTCGATCGCACCCACGCAGCGCAATTCAACTCGGGAAACCCACGCAAAGCAATCGAGTGCTGCCCAAAAGCAAGGCATCACCAAACATGGACGGCGGAGGCGCTTCTGCTGCCGGAGGAGGATTCTTCGGTGGCTCGCATGATCACGGCCATCACGGCCATCACGGCCATCACAACAACGACCAATCTCACCACCACTCGCATCAGCATAGCCATCCAGCACCAGCACCAGTACAAGCTCCTGTCGACCCAACACCGCACTTCCCTCCGCCACACCAAGCCCCTCCAACCGGAGTCAGAATGGCAGCTACCGGATCCGCTGCAGGATCTCGCGCAGCTCCCACGCAGGGAGGTGAAGAGGCGCAGTGGTCGCTCAAGGACATCTACTGGCGCGGACGCGAGTGCAAGATCATCACGCAGAACCAGAACGGGCCGTGCTCGTTGATCGCGCTGTGCAACATCCTGCTGCTGCGCGGCGAGCTCACCATCACGCCTCCGGACCGACCTGTGGTAAGCTATTCGTACCTCTCGCAGCTGATCGCCGAGCACCTGCTTAGCAAGCCGTTGGAAGGCGCTGCTCAGGGCGAGCTCGAATCGGCGCTCTCGACGCTACCGCGCACGCAGTACGGACTAGATGTCGACGTCGGCTTCGACTCGATCAGCGAGTTCGCCGCCGCCGCTGGAGACGGTCGGCAGGGCGGAGCGGGCGAGCTGGCGCTCTTTCGGCTGTGTAGCGTGCCTCTCGTGCATGGATGGCTTCCGGACCCGGCGGACAGCACGACGTATGAGGCGGTCAAGAAGGCCGGCAGCTACAACCGCGCCACGGACATTGTTGTGCGCGGCAACGAGGTGGCCGAGGGAGCAGTGGTGCGCGACCGCGGCGTGGGAACTTTGGCAGCTAGCCTTGCTAGCGAGACTTCGGTCGCCAACGGCAAACGACCCGAGCGCCGTGGCTGGACGGAAGAGCATTACGCCATTGTGCGGCAGGCATTGGCGCTGCAGACGTTCCTGGACAATACGTCGACGCAGCTGACCTACAACGGTCTGTTTGTGCTGGCACAGGAGGTGGCTGCTGGCGAGCCTGTGGCGCTGTTCCGCAACTCGCACCTCTCGGTGCTGTACAAGCGGCTGCCGAACGAAGGTCTGGATGCAGCCGATGGCAGCGGTGCCGCGACGCCTGCACCGCCGACGCTGTTCACGCTGGCGACCGACTCGAGTTTCTTGCTAGAGGACGAGATCGTCTGGGAGAGCCTTGTGGACGTGGACGGAGCAAGCAGCGAGTTCTACGACGGCAAGTTCCGCAAGTCGACCCTGCGCCAGGGCGACTATGTCGGTCGCGACGCCGACGTCCTCGGAGGTGCGGGCGGCTTGGGTGGGGAAGGCCTGCACGCGAACGAGGATGCCGACTATGCGCTTGCGATGCAGATCTATCAGAACGATCAGGACCGGATCGCGCGACAGCAGCAGCGTCGCAGGGGCCGCCAGTCACAGGGCGGATACTCGTCCAGGTCAAGACCATCGCAGCAGCAGCCAGCTGGTGGTGTGGGCATGGGCATGGCCGCCCTGCCTGCACCCGCATTCGAGACGCCGCGCGAGGTGTTTACGACGATGCGCTACGAACAGGAGCCGCAACAAGGCGAAGCGGCGGATGCGCTGGTGGCGGCGAGCCTAATTTCTGCTGGATTGCGGGCCGAGCACCAGTCGTTGCTGGATGCCATGCAGAGTTTGTCTGTTGGAGGAGGCGCAGGAGGCCAGAGAGTGGATTCGGCTGTTGCTCCGGCTCAGTCGACCAATCCTTTCCTGAATGCGAGCGAAAGCCAAACCAACGCGATTTCGACCACGACGAATCCCTTCCTTCGAGGCGCAGCGACCGAGGCGGCTACTCCGACTCTCGCACCCAGGCATCGGCTGTTCCGACACATTCCTCTTCTGTCGCAGCATCTGGAGCGATTGGTGTCGTCGGCGGGTGCGATGTGCCGCGTGTATTCTGCAGTGTGGTCGATGGCTGTGCTGGAGCAGCAGGGCTCGCTGCAGCCCGAGCGCATTTTGCAAGCCATTGAATCGAGCCTGGCGAGCTCAGCAGCTCAGGATGGCGAGGGTGCGGTCAAGGGCATCCGCGTGGCCATCGGGCGAGACGGCTCGATCCGCGTGACGCAACGCACCATCAGCGCGTTTCCCAGCATGCTCGACAGCGGTTCGAACGCAGCACGACCGCCGAGCGTGCGCTTGGATGCGGCGCCGACGAGGGTTCGAACGATGGATCTGGAGCCGCTCGTGTTCAACAAGACGGACGCGCGTGGCTTCTACGAGGCGGCCAAGCAGAGGGTGGGAGCGGATCCGAGCGTGCTCAGCGGCATTCGAGAGGGCGACCAGAGGTGTTTCGACGTGATCCTGTGGAACGACGAGCAGATGGACACGCTCGACCAGGCCGATGCCGCAATCCCATCTGCACCCAAGCGACTGGTGACCGAGTCGAGTCTGGCCAATGTCGTGGTGGAGCTGACCGGAGGTGGTGCCGGCGGTTCGCGCTTCATCACGCCGCGCACGTCGGCAGGCATGCTGGACGGCTTGCTGCGCAGGTGGTTGGTCGACAAGGGCGTGGTGGACGAGCAAGACATCGAGGTGGACGAGCTGATCAGCTGGGTGCGCCAGGGCACGGCCCAACTCTGGCTATGCAACTCGCTGCGTGGTCTCTGGAAGGTTGAGCTGGTCGAGGGACCGCTCTCCGCCGTTCCAGCCGGCGCAGTTGGCTCAGCAGGTGCAGCCGGCACAGCCATGGGCGCAGGCGCAGCCGCGAACGAGGGCAAGAAGAATCGCTTCTCTAAGCTCATCAAGGGCTCGTCGCGCCCCACCAACGCCTCAGCTCGCACTCAGACTGGCACTTCCTCCGGCTTTGAGGCGCGACAGAGCGACGCCGTGCACGACCAGGTGATTGACGACCTCTACGGGCACAGGCAGGGCGGCGCCAACCAGAGCAAGCTCCAGGGCCGCAAGGGCAACAAGTCCAAAGATGATAAGAACTGCACCGTCATGTGATGTCTTTTGCGAATGTCACATCCACTCCGACTTGCTCCTCCTCGCTACCATCACATCGATCCAATAGAGAAACTGGCATCGGCATCCCCGAGTGACAAGCGGTGGCAAGCCGAAACCCAAACCCAACTGCAGAAGGAAAGCCCGTGCGCAGCCAACCTTGACCTGCACTTTCTCGGATGTCGGCGTGGGCGGGGAAAGAGAGAGAGAAGAGACAAAAGAGGGTCCGCGAAGAAGCAAGTTTTGCTTTTTTTTGACAGGCTGCTGCCAACGGTTGAGGTTAATTTTCAAAGTGATGGCCGTGCATGAAACCGCATCGGCTCTGCGCAGAAGGTGAGCGAGCGCATATAGCCAGACAGGCCAACCGAAGCTGCTCCGCTCGGTTGGGGAGCTGAGGGGCCGAAAGCTTGCCGGTATCTTGCTGTCTATCAACGACAAAGAGCCACGCCTAACGGCCCACTCTCGGCACCTTTTCGCAGTCTTGAAAGCTCGGGCGCACGGTCGTCACCCAAGGCGCAAGTCCAACATCGTCCAAGTCTTTGTCCACTCCTCGACAGCGCCAGCTTGGCTGGTGCGGCTCTTTGTCACTTGGTCCGCACCTCTGGAAGTTGCGCACGCTTTCATCCACCATTCTGCGCAGCTCGCACAGCCATCGCCGAGCACGCTGAGAATGCCTTCAAGCCCATGCGCACCGTCGCTTCGACCCGCCCTTGTCCATCTCCAACCCCTTCAATCTCGTTGACCCACGCCGACTTTGTGCTTTCACATCGGCACCTTTGCGCTTCGCCGACCCACCGCCCCCGGCTTCATCTTCTGCGCCGTCTTCTCGCAGCCTGTCTCATTAAAGCGATCCACTTGCACCCACCTTCCGCAGATCCTTCATTCTGGAGACCCCGATCCAATCGTCTCGATCACGCCCCTCTTCCGGCCGTCTATTTGTCATACTTCTAGCCCTCAGCACACCCACAAGGATCTCTGGGAACATCTGCGCCCCTCGGATGGCATGCTCGTGCAGTCAAGATGGAGATCCAGATCCAGCGCATAGATCCATGGGTCACCGAGGAGGACCTCTACAGGGAGGTCGCCGCCGCCCTCCACAACCCACCCGTACGCATCCCCGGCCAGGGCCTCACCAACTTTCACTTGCTCCTCCCAAAGACCCAAAAGCAAGGTCGACACAGGGGCTATGCCTTTCTCACCATAGCAGAGGTCTCCACCGCCTCCGCTTTGATGGAGTATTGCTCCACCGAACGCAAGCGCCGTCCCCTGCTGATTGTCCGCGATGGCAAGGCAAATGCACTCAAGCTCATCCCCAACGGCTTCGGCAAGGAAAACATCATTCGCGAGCTTCTATCCTTCCCCTTCGAGGATTGGGATGCCCGACGAACTAGGCTTCATGGAGGCGCACAAAGACGCCGCAACGTTGAACCGTCCGACAGTCAGAGCGACGAAGATGCGCATGCCTTCGCCCTCACCGCCCGTCAAGCTCCCACGCCTCCACAGATCGCATCCCGAACCACCTACGTCCGCACGCAGACCCTCCGCCCGCAGCAGCCACGCAAGCGCATCGAGCCCGTCAAGATCCAAGGCGCTTGGTCCGTCGTCCAGTTCGGCGTCATCTGCGAAGACGGCTCCTTCTCCATCGAGGATTTCGACTCGCCCCCTTCGCCCCTCCCGTCCGGCTTTGACATCAAGTCGCAGACGCTATGCTTCGGTGACAAGGACAACTCCATCCGCATTCTCTTTAACAACATTGTCAGCTGGTCCATCGACCATACTCACAAGGCGCTTTGCTTCGAGCTCGAAGACCCCGCCACCTTTATCCGTCAGGGCAGAAACAGCTGTGTCTTTGACTTTATCAACCACATTGACCGCGAGGAACACATCCGCGACCGAACTCGCTACCGCATTCGCCTCATCGGATGCAACTTTCGCGTCTGCTTCGAATCTTACTCCGACCTCGACTGGTTCTGCATCGAGGCCAGGCCCTTCCTCAAGAGGGCCGGCAACCCGCGAGAGACCCCCGAGCAATCGTGCGCAGAAATCTCACCGAGCCAAAGTTTTTCGAAGCAGCCGGCCAATTCTGCGCCAACACCGACCTCAAGGTCGCCTACCAGCTCGACAAGCTCATCCGCAACGGCCTCTACTCGCCCACCGTGCTCAACATCCTCAAGCAGAGCACACAACGGCTCATCAAGTCCTACGGCATCGACTTTGCTGCTCGCGTCTTCGAGAGTCTGGCGGCGGCATCGCGCCAGGAGCAGGTACGCGACCGCAAAACAAAGTGCCTCCTCGGCTCCACCAAGCTCGAGGAGCGCATCGAGACCGAAGAGAAACGCCTCAAGCGCCAAGATGCGGCCCAAGCCGATCTGCTCGAAGAGCAGACCAACTCCGCTGCCACCGCCCATGTCTACCACGTGACGATCACTCCCACCCGCGTGCTGCTCGACGGCCCATTCATGGACGCCTCCAACCGTGTGCTGCGCATGTTCCCAGACTTTGGCAGCCACTTTGTACGCGTCGCCTTCTGCGACGAGGACGGCGACCGCTTTCCTGTCTCCCGACACGATCTTGACGGCATCGATAGCGAGTCGTTTGTGCGCGAACGCATTGGCGATCCGCTCAAGTACGGCATTGCCATCGCCGGCCGCAAGTTTGAAGCGCTCGCCTGGTCAGGCTCGGGCCTCGGTAGCCACCACTGCTGGTTCGTCACCGCCTTCACCGACAAGGTCGGCAAGCTCTGGGACGCCGAGCGCATTCGTCAGGCCCTCGGCAACTTCCGCAGCATCGACCGCTACCCCGCTCGTCTCGGCGCCCGACTCTCGCAGGCCTTCAGCGCTACCTCGTCCAGCATTACCATCGAAAACGACTGGGTCGAGATCATTCCAGACGAGCTCAGCAACGCGCAGATGCCCAGCAACGGTCCAGAACGCGATCGCAAGTACTACCTGCTCACCGATGGCGTAGGTCAGATCTCTAAAAGCCTGCTCGACGAGATCTGGCACGCGCTTTGCGAGACGAGGGGGATGCGCCGCGAGTGGCGACTGTCGCAGCAGGACCCCAAACGCATCCCTTCTGCCATCCAGTTCCGCTGCGGCGGTGCCAAGGGCGTCCTCTGCCTCAATCCTACTCTCAAAGGAAAGAAGATGATCATGCGCGAGAGCATGATCAAATTCTCGGCGCCCAAGCATCGCGAGTTGGAGGTGGCGGCTCACTCGTTCTCGCCGCTTCCGGCTCGTCTCAACCGACCGCTCATCAATGCGCTCGAGGATCTGGGCGTCAAGGACGACGTCTTCCTGAACTTACAGGCGAGTGCAGTAGAGAGTGCGCAGGAGGCGCGCAAGTCGTTCAAGCGCGCATCGCAGCTCATGGGCTCGTTTGCAATGAGCGATGCTGCCGAGATGCACAAGCTCTTCCGGCGTCTCGACAGCGTGATCGGCATGCGACCCGACGAGCTCGACCCGGACAGCATCCTGCACCGTCTGTGCACCATCGTGATTGCGGCTGCCTTGGGCGATCTCAAGCGCAAGGCGAGGATTCCCGTCCAGGGCTGCACACTCATCGGCGTAGTTGACGAGTTCAACTTTTTGGACAGGGGTCAGATCTTTGCGCAGGTCAACGACCGCGACCAAGACGAGTTTCGCATCGTCGAGGGCAAGGTCATGGTCGGACGCAGCCCAACCATCCATCCGGGCGATGTGCGCGTGGTAAATGCGGTCAAACCGCCACCCGGGCATCCGCTCCTCCAGCTTCGCAATGTGATCGTGTTCAGCAAGTCGCCATTCGGTCTGCCGCTACAGTCGATCCTGAGCGGCGGCGATCTGGATGGTGACATCTACACGATCTACGAGGACAAGGATCTCTTTCCCACACGCACCGAGTCGCCAGGACAGTACAAGGCCGTTCCGCCGCGCTCGTTGGCACGACCATGCACATTCGAAGATCTTGCCGACTTTTTCGTCGACTATGTGATCAACGACCAGGTCGGACTGGTCTCGACGTTGCATCTGCACATTGCGGATACAAGTCCGCTGCACTCGCTCGATCCGGACTGCATCAAGCTCGCGCAGCTGCACGCCAAGGCGGTCGACTACCGCAAGACCGGCCAGGCGGTGCATCGGAGGGACGTGCCCATGCCGCCATTCAACTCGCCGCGGCCCGATTTTCTCGCCCAGCGACCGGCGGGTCCAGGGATCTACTCGAGCACTCGAGCACTGGGCAAGCTGTTCCGTGCGATTCCCGAGCAGAGCACAGACACGCCGTATGGCAACCAGCCGGCATGGAGTCGAGGCGAGACGAGCCAGAGCGCGTTGTCGCGCATCCTCAAGCAGCCGGGCAAGTCGGACGATATTGTGTTGATCCTGACGACGCTGGCGGAAAAGTTCCCGCAGATCAAGCCGAAGGGGCTGAGGCTGGTGCAGATGCAGGTGCAGTTCCGACCGCTGCTGGAGTCGTTTGTCTACCACCTGAGCCGGCTGGCGGCGTGGATCCCCGAGAGCCGCATCGAGGCCGAGTGGCTGAGCGAGGAAGAGATCCTGATCGGTACACAGGTGATGGCGACCAAGGCCAAGCAGCTCAAGCGCCGACAGGAGCGGCTGACGGCGTCGACCGCCGAGTTGTTCCCCATCCTGCGCTCGCAGCTGCAGCTGATCGCAGACGATGACAATGTGGCGACGTCCACGATCCGACCTGCCGGTGACGACTCGCTCGACGCGACGCGAGCGGGCGCAAAGGGAAAAGGTAAAGGAGGAGCTGCAGGCGACGGCGTGCCGCACTTCTCCGGCCATGTCGAGCTTCGCAAGGCGCCAATAAGGACAAGGACTGTGGTGGTGGATGGCGAGCGCGTGGTAGTGCACGAAAGAGCAGACAGGCGAAACGAATCTTCACCGTGGTCGGACGGCGAGGAGGACTACGAGCTCAATCAACGCATGGTCGACATGAAGGTCAGCAATCCTCGCAAGGCCGGCGCGATTCGTGCGGCCAAAAACGGCGCCTCGTCCAATCGGCTGACCGGGGTCACCCCGGGTAGTAGCAGCGGCAATGGCGGTGCCAATGGCCGGATCAACGGGAAGGGCAAGGGCAAAGCAAAAGGCAATTCCAACGGCAACCACACTGGCGGTCGAAACGGCAACACGCGGCACAAGAACAAGAACCGCGCGCTGGCCACCACCGAGCCGGAGCTGTACAACCGGTTCTACAACACGGACGAGGAAGAGTCGGACGAGATTTGGGACGACGAGATCGACGGCATTCCCATCGCCGCACTGAAGGGCGACGACCGAGCGCGGCGCCATCGACGCAAGGAGCTGCAGCATCTGTATGCGGCGTGCTACCTGGGCGCGACCGAGCAGTCGGCACGCCACTATGGCGGCAACACGTTTGCGGTGATTGCGCTCTCGTGTCTGCTCGAGCGGCTCGAGGAGCATCAGATGAACGGGCGTGTCTTCTAGACTCGCAGATGAATGCATTGTCATTGTCTTGAACAGCGAGATGGCTCGTGTGAAGCTGTTTGAGAGCGTTGATTGGGATGGATGGGGAGCAGGCAAAGCGAAAAATTCAGAGGATGTCAGAACGATTACGTTGAACACGGTTTCTGGGGGCGAAAATGACAAAGAGGTGGAGGCAAGTGAGGTCTGTGCGGGCGGGCGGGCGTCAGTTGGAAGAAAGCTTCGCGCTGAGGAGCGGCGTTGGATGGAAAGTGACAGAACGGCTGAGAAACGCGTCCCAGCCGCTCTCAGCCGAGAAGAACACCTTCGCCTGCGCACGTTCAAATTAAGCGCTCCTCGGTCCCCACCGCTCCTCATCACCCCCATCATCGACGTACTACAAACGGCGAAACTACCCCCAACATGGCTTCAGGATCGACGTCTACGCCCACGGCGGGCAACCCGATCGTCTACCTCGACATCAGCTTCGGTGACCAGCCGGCCCCCTCCCGCGCGGGCGCGAACCGAATCGTACTCGAGCTGTACAAGCATCTAGTCCCCAAGACCGCGGCGAACTTTCAGCAGCTATGCACCGGCGCTGCGGGCAAATCCTCCTCTGGGGTCGAGCTGAAATTTGCGGGCTCGACGTTCCACCGTGTGATTCCGAAGTTCATGATCCAAGGCGGCGATTTCACGCGCGGGGACGGTACGGGCGGCGAGTCGATCTACGGCGAAAAGTTTGAGGACGAAGATCTGACGGGAAAACACGATGCACCGTTCCTACTCAGCATGGCCAATGCAGGACCCAACACCAACGGCAGCCAGTTTTTCATCACCACCGTACCTACGCCGCATTTGGATGGCAAACATGTAGTGTTCGGCCGGGTGCTGAAGGGTAAGTCGGTAGTAAGGAGGATCGAAAACACCCCCACGCAGAACGATCGCCCCGTGGAAGAGGTGAAAATCGCGCAGTGCGGTGAGCTCGACCCAGAGTCGAGCGAGGTTAAGGAGGCAAGTTATGGTATTGGTCGAGATGAATCGGGGGATGCTTTTGAGGAGTATCCCGAGGATGAGGGGGGAGAGTTGGAAACGAGTGTAGAGAAGACGCTCGAGGTTGCTACGCAGCTCAAGACGATCGCCAATGGTCGTTTTGCGAAGGGGGACCATGGCGTGGCACTGGAAAAGTACCTCAAGGCAATGCGATACCTCCAACTGCACCCCGTTCTTCCCGATGACACTCCGGAGCCTACCCGAACTGCATGGTACACTCTCAAGACCTCGGTCCAACTCAACGCCTCACTGGCTGCACTGAAGAGCACACCCCCGCAGCCGCGCGTGGCTATCTCGCAGGCAACAGCCGTGGTGCAATTCCTTGACTCGGCTCAGGCTACGTCGTGGGACGCTACGCCCGAAGCCGACGCCAAGCGAAAAGCCGACCTTGCAAAGGCGTTTTATAGGAGAGCCCTCGCGTACGGCGTTAGCAAGGACGACGACCGTGCCGATGCCGATCTCAAGCGAGCGGCAGACCTCGCCCCCACCGACCCGGGGATCAAGAAGGAACAGTCTGCCCTGGCTAAGCGCCGCGAAGCAAAGGTCAAGGCCCAGCGTGCGGCTTACAGCAAGATGTTCGCCTAGTCCCCACGCCCCCACCTCATCAGCGCCACAGAAATACACACAAAGTTGACACTGCATTGCGGATGTGAGAACGCTGCGTGGTGCGGGTTCAGTGCTGAGCGTGGTCGTCGTCTTGGACATGGTCGTCGGCGGGCGCCGGAGGGTTGCCGCCCCACACGGCGTCCAGGGCGGCACGCAGCGCTGCAAACGGCCGCGCACGTGGCTGCTGCTCGCCCTCCGCCGCTACAGCCTCGCCATCGACATCGTCTCGAAAGGCGCCGGGCATGTTGTCGCCCTGGGCCGCTTCGGCCATGTGCATGATCTGGGCCATGACGTCCTCGCGCGTCTCGTCGTCCATGTTCTCCATGGCTGCGTCCCACCCCTGCACGCCCGCCATGCCCTGCAGTGCCCTCCTGAACGCCTGCATAATACCCGCACCCTGTTCCCCGCCTGCCTGCGCTGGCCCTCGCGATGCCGGAGTATCGGCCAGGACGGGCGCAAAGTACTCGTCGTCGTACCGCGTTACCTCCAGTCCATCCGCATCCGTATCCGACACGCCCGCGCGCGGAGGCACGGGATCGAACGCATCCATCTGCTCCGAACTCCCCGTGATACTCGGCGGGAGATACGCGACGAGTTGCTGACGCACCGCGTCCGGAAGATCCGACACGAGCACGTGCCTGTAGATCCCCTGGCGCGTATTGTGGCTCGCCACGGCCGGCTGCGCCTTTCGCCTGCCCTCGTAGTCGGCCACGAGCGTCTCGGTGAGCTCCATGGCGGTGCTGCGCAGCCACTCGCCATACCCAGGTTCCTTCCAGAGACTCTCGGAGCGCAGCACGTAGATGTGGATGAGCAGCGAGCCGAGCGTGTCGTCCGCGCTGTACCGCGGCGCAAGCTGGAACAGCGGATGCGTGGCGATCTTGTCCGGCAGATCCACGCCCACCTTGTTGCACAGCAGCGGCACTGCGCCGGGGAAGCGTGCAATCGCAAGACGCAGAGCTGCACGCGAGCGCGCGGCCGCAGCCGCTTTATCCGACTCTTCCTTCTCGAGCGCGCGGTAGGCGAGTGCACGTGCATATGCAAGGCCCACACACCAGTCGAGCGTACCCGCATAGCCATCGCCTTCGCCCGCGAGCTGCTTGTCCGTATCATCGATGACCGTGCGTGCGGGCACCGACAGCTCGTCGACATGCGCGACGCTCGTGGTGCCGCGCCGCGCACGCTGCTCGTCGAGCGTCTGCACGAGCTCGAGCAGCCACCGGTGCTGGCGCGACTTGATGGCGAGAAAGTCGATCCACAGCAGCGCAGCATGGTGGTCCTCTCCATCCTGCCCCAGCCCCAGCAGCAGCTTGGCCCACTCGAGCGCGGTGCGCCACGTGCCCCTCCTCCCGAGAAATCCAATATTCCGGTGGAGCGCCAGGTAGAACGCGCGGTTCTCGATCTTGTTGAAGCTCACCACGGGCGGGCCGGACGAGGTGCTCGAGAGGCACGAGGTGAAGTACGGGCTGGCGCAGCGCTCGAGCGCAAAAAGCGCGCGGTCGTTAAAGTCGGCCGCCTGGCCCAGGTCGCCCTGGTGGCGCGAGTACTCGGAGAGCTGGAGCAGCGTGTCGATGTGGTACGGATACACGCGCAGCAGCGCCATGAGCGCGTTGGGATCGTACGAGCGCACCGCCTGGAGGAACTGCATCTGCACCTGGCGGTACGCGCGCGAGTGCTTCCACACGCACACGCGGCCGTGCGCGGCCGAGTCGACAACGTCCATGCTCATGCCCGTGAAGCTGCGGCTGATGGGCGGCCAGTAGTCCTTAGGCGTGCACAGCAGGCTGCGCACCTTGAGGTTCGGATTGTTGGCCTGCGCGCGCGCCCGCGCTCCACTCGACGCCCGACCACCGCCTGCGGCGCCCCCGGCCTCGTTCTGGTACGCCTTGATGGCGGCCGAGCCAAACTGACGACGAAGCTCGATTGCGGGATCGAGATGGCGTGGGTCCAGGCTGAGGTGAGTACGGAACGCCGACACACGGCCTGCTGTTGCACCCGCAGCCGCGGTTGAGGACGATGGATTGCGTGCAGCCTCGGCGCTGTTCAGACTGGCTTGCGAGGCGAGCAGCGCATCGAATTCGTCGATCGACATGTCGGCGACGTCTTTGGACTTGGCTGCTGCCTTGCCTGTGGGTGTGCCTGATTGCTGGACCGACGACTTTTTGGTCGAAGCTTTCTTGGCGCTCGACTTGGCGGGAGCCGCCTTTGTTTCGCCATCCTGCGTTGGGGCGGTGACATCCTCTCCAGCATCGCCTTGGTCTGCCACTGCTGCTGCTGCAGCGGCGGCCTTCTTCCTTTTCTTCTTGTTCTTCTTCTTGCTGCTTTTCGCGGCTGTTTGCTGTGTCGAAATGTCGTTATCTGCATCCGAGGCATCGTCCTCGTCGTCCTGTTCAGCGTCGTCACCAGTATCTCCAAGCGCAGCAAAGAGCGAAGTTGTGGTGGGCTTGCTTTTGGAAGCGGTCCGGGGTGCAGGGGCGGTCTCGACCTCCTCTTCGTCTTCCTCGCTGACCTCGTCATTGGAAGGCTCGTTGAGCTGCTGGAAGGGCGACTTGGTTGAGGCGGCGGCTGCCTTGGGGAGAGGCACGTCTGCGAGCTCGTCGAGCTCTTGCTGCTCGCGCAGCTGACGCTTGTTGAGCCTTTTGCCGCTCATGACGTGGGATCGATGCACTTGCAGTGTGGGTAGCGGGTGGGTCGACAGAGAGAGGAGAGGAGGGAGGTGGAGGGCCGACTGAGCTTCCAGACAGGTTTGGCCCGACTCCCGATTTTTTCACGGTTCAGGCGGCTTACCTGAGGGCAAAGCAAAGGCGGAAGCGCCGAAGAAAGATCGGGAAGTCCGCGAAGAAAGAAAGCTGCTCCTGCTCAGGCACTCCTCCACTTGGTCACTCTAAGCATCGGTCGGAACAACCACAGCAACCTCGACGACGAGCCGAACACTTATCTGGCCACTATCGGAGAACCCGCCCTGTGGCTTCCAACTCCCATCACACCATCACGTATCGCCTCGGTCAGCAATGCTAGCACGATCCGCCGTGTCGACGCTACGCGCTTCGGTGCGTCCGACAGCGCCAGCTCGACTCAGCCTTGGCTCGTCGTTCTTGCCAGGCAATAGTCGAGCAGGTGCCAGCCAGATCTCGAGTCGCAATGCTCTGACCTTCCGTAGCTACTCATCTCAACGCGAAGAGCAGGCCAAGGACAAGCTCGCGGTGGGCCCGTTCAACCTCAAGGCGGGACTGCTCTTTCTGGTGACGGGAGCGGGGCTGCTCTACTACTTCCGCAGCGAGAAGCAAAAGGTGGAGCAGCGACGCAAGGCCGAAACGGCCGCTGCCAAAGTCGGCCGTCCACGTATTGGCGGGCCCTTTTCGCTCGTCACATCCACGTCGCATCCATTCACGCACGAAGACCTGCTCGGCAGCTTCTCGCTCGTCTACTTTGGCTTTACCAACTGTCCCGACATCTGTCCCGAGGAACTCGACAAGATGGGCGAGGTCGTCGACCGCATCGATGCCAAGTACGGCAAGCAGATCATCAACCCCGTCTTCATCTCGTGCGATCCGGCGCGCGATACTGTCCCGCAACTCGCTCGGTACATTGATGACTTCCACCCGCGCATGGTCGGTCTTACCGGCACGTTTGAGGCTGTCAAGCAGGCGTGCAAGGCCTACCGCGTCTACTTCTCCACCCCTCCCGGCGCAGATCCCATGGGTGACTATCTTGTGGACCACAGCATCTTCTTCTACCTCATGGATCCAGAGGGCAAGTTCGTCGATGCCTTTGGTAGGAGTGTCGATGCCAAAGAGACCGGCGACAAGGTGGATGCCTACGTGAAACAGTGGATCGACGCTGGTCTGCCCATCTCACAAGCTGACGCAAGAAAGAAGGTTCAAGACCGTCCAAAGGTCCAACTCTAGCTTTGGCTTTTCAGACCATGTATACTAACTTGATCGCGCCTACCACATCTCACACCGCTTTCGATTCGTGCACAAGGCTGGTTTGGGCTAGAGCTGCATTGCGTGAGAAAAGAATGAGCAGAGTGAAAGTCTAGCGACGTGGGGTGCGACGAGTGGCGCGTGTGTCGGTGGATGCAGAGCTGCGCGTGGTGGCTCGGGCAGGCGTGCGTGCACTCGGCGTCGAGGCCTGCTGCTTGTCGCTGCTGCCTCGTCGAGAGATCGATCCGGCGGGCGTCACCGAGGAACGGCTGGAGCGTGTCTGCTTGACAGGCGTCGAGGGCGACTCTTTCGGCTCCTTGGCCGCGCTTGAGCGCGATACCACCGAGGCGCGCGTCGAGCGTCCGCCCGACGAAGCGGCAGTGCGTCGACCCCCGCGCTCACCCGACTTGGTCGACCCCTTTCCTCGTCGTCGAGCGCCCGACTCGCCATCACTCGCATCGTCGTCATCCTCCTCCTCCGAACCCTCCTCGTCTTCCGATGCCTGATTCGACGCAGCTTCCTTGTCGTCGTCCACAGCATCCGAGTTGCCGTCGCCGTCACCGCGCTCGGATCCGGACTCGTGCGCGCCCTCACTCGCCGCATCGCTCTGCTCCTCCTTGGCGTCCATCATGTCTTCGTCTTGAGCCCCGTCCGCTGCTGCTTCTTCGCCGCCCTCCGACTTGGACGCGCGCCGGCTGCTGCGTCGACGCACCGACGGACGCGCATCCGCCTCCTCCTCATCGCTCGACGGTGCTCCGCGCTTTTTGCTTCCCTTGCGGGCCGAGGATGCCGCCTGCTGCGCCTTGCCCGATCGTCGGCGCGCTGCACTCTCCGCCTCGCTCGCCGTCTCCTCCTCGTCCTCGCCAGCCTTGCCATCCTCGCCGTCCTCGTTGGCGTCGCTCTCGGCCGCGTCGCTGCCCGCCTCGTCTTCCGACGCTTCCGTGCCGTCGTTACCGGCGCGACGTCCGCGCCGCGTGGAGCGTGTGGGCGTCACTGTACCCGAGGTGCTCTTGCGACCTGATCCCGCCGTGCGGGGTGGACGTTGCAGCGGCGTGGGTGCTTTGCGGCTGCCTCGGCGCGTACGCACCTGCTCCGAACACTCGTTCTCCTCGTCCGATTCGCCCTCCTCGTCTGCATCTGGCTCCGCCTTGGCAGCCGGCGTGCTCTCATCCCCGTCGCTCTTCTCCGCCGTATCGCGCGACGCCTTCTTCTTGGGCTCGGGCGCGTCAGTGCGGCCACGACGTCCCGAACGACGCTTTGGCGTCGAGTCTTTCGAGACGTCGGCGTCCGAATCGGGCTCCGAAAGGTCCTCATCTTCCTCCGCGTCCTCGCCTCCTTGCTCGGCCTCGTCCTCGTCCTCCTCCTGCTTGGCGCTAGCATCGCGGGTATCAGCAGGAGACGCGGATCGCTTGGGTGTCTTGGCGTCTGCAGAGGCATCCGACGCAGGCGAGCCCTCGTCCTTGGCGGCTGCGGTTCCCTCCTCCTCCTCGTCCTTGGCGATGCGACGCTTTGCAATCAGCGGCTCAAACTCCTCCCACGGCCACAGGTAGAAGTCGCGGCGCGCCATGCCGTCGCCGGTGCCGCGGACGTCGTCGCCGTAGATCCAGTTCTGCGATTGCGCGTTGGGGCGTGACTTGCGTTCACCGTCCGCATGGAAGTCGGGCGAGCCTGGATGCTGGAAGACACAACGCGAGAGCACATCCGCCGACAGCTGCCGCGCCTTGGTGGCTTCAGCGCCCGTGAGGCTGCGCTTGCGCTTCGAGGCAGGCGGTGACGAGCTGGATGCGGAATCGCTGCTGGAGTCGCCCGTGTCGGTGGCAGCTCCGGCCTGGCTGGAAGAGTCAAATATGGCACCCTCCTCCATGTCGTCGAGCGCCTCGAGGTCAAACAGCTTGTGCAGCTCGTTCCACACCATCTCTGGCTTCACCGTGCGGTCGAGGCCGAGTGCGGCGATGGCAAGACGCGTCTGTTCCGTCTCCTGCTGGCGCTCCCGCTCTTCCTCCTCGTTCTGCTCTGCGTCGTCCTCGGTGCGCTCTCCATCGTCCTCGGCGGGACCTGAGCTGGCGACGCTGCCAGACCGCGAGCGCGAGCCTTTGCGCGAGTGGCCGAGACTGCGGCGAATGCGAGGCGTCGCGCTCATGTTGCTGCCTGCGCTCGAAAGTGGCGGTCTGGACTTCTTGTCCGAAGCATTACTGGGCGGTGCGGCGCTGCTGAGCTTTTCGAGGCGCGCGGCCAGACGCTGGTAGCGAAAGTCGAGCGCCTTTTGGGTGTCCGTGACGACCGAAAGCATCTTGAAGTGCTTGTGCGGGCCCACGGGTCGACGAAGCGATACGGAGCGCAGGAACGCAATGTGCACGTCGTCGTCCTCGGGAAGCATGGCCGCCGACGTCGAGGCTCGGGATGTCTGAGCCGTCATGGTGATGCAGCTTGGAGTCCACGCTCGGAGGTTTGACGAAGCGTGCAGATGCCAAGCAGCGTGGTGATGTTGGGTGGTGGAGAGATGAAAGGAGTGGACGAGTGGAGTGAGATGCGCAAATGCGGATGGGTGGTGGAGCTGCAGCGACCCCGTGCCACTTTCGCGTCGGGCTTCTTCCAATCGGAATCGGCGAATTTCACAATGCACACATTCCCGATTTTCCCGATTCACCACTCCACTGTCTGACCCGAGCAGCACACTCCGCACGAAAGCTGGCTGCCAATCAAGCATGCGGCTGGCCGGAGATACTCTCGATTGTATACATTGGTCATCTCGTAGACTGGATTACAGCTTGGCGCGCTCGGTAAACTGGACCGCTTCTCCGCGGATGAGGCGACCGATGCCGTCGTGGTAGCCCTTGACGACGCCGTTTTGGTCGCGGGCGCCGCGCTCGCCCGAGTGGTTGAGGGGTTCGCGCTTCATCCACTCGACCATCCTCTCGTAGGCACGGCCGTCGCTGCTGCCGAGTGGCGAGCAGAGGTACCAGTCGTCCATGTCGAAGCTCTCGACGAGTCCCAGTGCATCGCGACGGATGGGCCCAGACAAGAGCGTGGCGGACGTCCGTCGGAGCCTGTCGAGCTGCACGGAGGAGAGAAGCTGGAGCTCAAGGAAGTCGCTGAGCATGTCTGAGCTCAAAATGCAGTTCTGAATCAGGTGGAAGCGCAGCAGCGCATCGAGTGCGGCAACGTGAGAGTCCTGAACAGCAACGCCGTACCGTTCTTTGATGGAAGCGGCGGAGTCTGATTTGAGCTGCTGCACGAGCTGGGAGAAAGCGTATCCGATCAGGTAGGCACCGTGGGCGGTGGAGGCACGCACGGCGAGGTTGGTGTCGATGTGCTTGGACACACCATCAGCGGTGGCTGTGCTCGAGCGGTGCTTTGCGAGTCGCTGCACCAGGAGTGCAGCACGGAAGCCGAGCAAGCCGAGCAAGCTGGCGGGTTGATCGATCTGGTCGACGCTGACAGCCTGCGAACGCTTCGAAACGGCATCTGCGGAGCTGGACGAAGAGGCAACAAGCTCGAGGTATGCGAGCTCGGGGTAGAGTACCTTGCCATTGCGCTTGCGCGCCTCGTTGAGCTGCTTGACCAAAAAGTTGGCCGAGGGTCCGGCGAGAAGCATCGAGTTCTCGCCCTCGTAGATGAGACCGGCGTTGGGCTGGTTGCGCTCAAAGTCGAAGCCAGCAGCCTGGCTGAAGCCGTGACCGCCCATGCTGCGACGGCATCGTTCGATGCCGGCGAGCGATTCGCTGGTGCATACCGCCTTGAGCACGCTCGAGTAGCCATGGACGATGGGGAGGAGCGCGCTGTTGCCCTCGGATTCGATCTCGGCGATCATGCGAGTGTACAGGCGCCTGAGGTGCTGGCTGACAAACGTGATGGCGTAGGCGGAGGCAAGGGCAGTGAGCACGCGCGTCTGGACCGAGGCGTAGTCGAGGATCTTGGGCTCGAGCTGGTCTGGCTGTGTGCTCGAGGTGCCCTGTCGTCGAACGACGGCGTAGCGGATCGCAATCGTGGCGGCACGCGCCAGATGGTGGGCTGCGATCTCGCACAGACCGACGCGAACGAGGGTCATGGTGCCGCGCGTCATAACTTGGGCGGCGGCATTGCGCTTCTCGTAGACGCCGTCTCTGGACACGGTCTGGAAGCGCTGGAGGAGATGCGACCGCGGGATGCGAACACTGTCGAAGCACGTGTATCCATTGTCCATCGCAGGCGCGCCAAGCTTACAGCCCATCTCGATGATGCGACGTCCCGGCAGCAGCGTGTGGTCTTTGAGCGAGCGGAGGTGAACCAAGAAGGGGTGCATGCCGTACGATTTGCCGCTAATGATGAGGTTGGCCATGACCACGCCGTACGTGGCGGTGAGACCACTGCCTCCGATCCACACCTTTCCGGCAGACGGCTCTGGAGTGTTGATGATCCACTCGTCGGTGTTGTGGTCGAAGGTGGCGGTGGTCCTGAGTGCCGAGAGGTTGGAGCCGTGTGCGAGCTCGGTCTGCATGTAGCAACCGAGCCAGCGACCGGACCTGACCATGGGACCCCACTCGGCCCACTGTTCGGTGCTTGCCTGTCGCATGAGGGTGGGCTGTGCCATGCTCTCTGCTACTTGGATGGGAAGGTACTCGTCGGTGAAGAGACGGAGCATGTCGGCGTCCTTCTTTTCGAGGCCGTGGCGGTTGCGGATCTCAAAGTAGCGGAGGGAGACCTGCTGACCCTTGAGGAAGCGTTCGTTGCGAGATTGGAAGACGCGATCCTCCTTGTCAAAAGTGTGATCCGGGTCGTCCTTGAGAAGCGAGAGGAGCCAGCGTGCATTGTCACGCTCGGTGCGCGAGCCGGGGAGGATGCACGACATGGCGTCGACGTCGAACGAGCATGCCGCGCGTTCCTGTTGGATGTCGCGCGGCTGCAAGGTCTCGGGCGCGGGTCTTTTGGAAGCCATCTTGATGTTACGAGTGGAAGAGGGCGATGAGGAGATGAGGATGGCGGTGGTGATGAGGATGGGGAGCGATGCTTTGCAAGCGTGGCCATAACCCTCCATCGAGTGCGGGGAACGTTGTAGCCGCACTGCGAAATTAAGCATGCGGGGTCGGCGCGCTCAGAATCGCCGACACCGGGAAAGCGCAGTTACCGAGGGCCGAAAAGCGCCGACCGCTTTTTTGTGCCCCGATTTTGTAAACATTTTCTCCATGTCTTCTTCTTCTTCTTCTTCTTCTTCTTYTTCTTTTTCTTTTTCTTTTTCTTTTTCTTTTTCTTTTTCTTTTTCTTTTTCTTTTTCTTTTTCTTTTTCTTTTTCTTTTTCTTTTTCTTTTTCTTTTTCTTTTTCTTTTTCTTTTTCTTTTTCTTTTTCTTTTTCTATTCCTTTTTTGTTTCCCGATGATGGTCCTTTGGCCGATGCGGATAACGACGTCAAGTTGGGCGAGCTGCTGCCGCTGCTGCTGCTCAGTCCACCAGTGGACCCTTAAATGGGCGCAGCAACCATCAGCTCGCATGAAATGCCGGAAAGCCTACCTCCGTGCACGCACCAAGACACCGTTTCGAGTCACCCTACCATCACACGATCCATTGCCTTTGCGACTCAGCCAACACTCACAGGCGTATAAAGTAGACACGCAAGCCTCCGCTTCTTCAGTCAGCCACACATTATGGACATGGACGGGCCAACACTCGCGGAAGAGTTCTTCGACTTGACCTCGGTAGAGGTGGCCGCCAACCACCTGCAGCCTGCCGAGTCGGTGGGTAAGGAAAACAGCGTGCAGGCAGCGCAGACTTCGCATCGTCTTGATATCATGTACGCCTGGCTCGTAGGTGATGATCCATGGAGCGACAATGGCCGTACATATTATGGCGGAAAGCGCTCTCTATTCGGAGGCCGTGTGATGGACCTCGGTTGCGGTCAGGGTGACCTCACTGGCGCCATGGCCGCTGTCCTCGCCAAGAACATCGATCTATTCCAACTCAAGAACTCCGAGCCACCAAGCATTGTCGGCGTGGACCCTGCCTCGCCAGACTATGGCTCCCCTTACACACTTCACCAGGCCCAGTCTCACCTCGCTCAAAACGAGGCCCTCAAGCCTCATCTTTCCTTCATCTTGGGCAAGACCGCGCACGAGGTGCTCAAATCGCAGCACTTCGACACTGTGACCCTCGCGCACAGCATCTGGTACTTTCCGTCCGTCAAGATGATCCGTGATACCTTCAAGGCGATACGCGAGGCTGGCGTCAAGAATCTCCTGCTCGCCGAGTGGGCAATGTCCGTATCCCACACTGAAGCCGTTCCCCACCTGCTCGCTGTGCTCTTGCAAGCCCAATCGCCTCTACGGGACGGTAACGTCCGAACGCCGATCAGCCCCACCCAAATTGTAGCATTGGCAGCCGAGGCTGGCTGGAAGGTAGACGATTACGTCATCTTCACTCCTCGCAAAGAGCTTCAGGACGGCAGGTGGGAGGTTGACATGGCGCGCGACGCTGTCAAGCTTTTCAACGACTCCGTGCCGGAGGCGCTCGATCAGTCCGGTCAGAGACTGCTGCACTCGATCCAGACGTCGAGCTCGGCGCTCGAAGAGGCCGTCCGCTGGGGTGGCAAGGGCAGATGCATGGACGTCTGGACCGCCGTGCTCTCGCCAGCCTAGACCGAATCCCACTCACATCGCTCGCAACCACATCCACACACGCTTTCATCTTCGGCACGCACCACGAATGCATTGATACATCCTGCAGCTTCATTTGCCAATACCGTGTGGGCTCACGGATCGCTACGCAAGCTCGATGCGCACCGTCATGAACTGAAACGCGCGAAGGTGCAGCACGGCTTTGAGCAGCCCATCGCTCGACAGGGCTCCTGCCTCGTTTAAGGCGCATGTCTCTCCATCGTGGTCCTGCTCCAGAAGATCGGTGATGCTTACACGCTTAACTGGCAGGTCGCACTCGAGCGTGACGCTGCTGCGCGTGCCAAACGCCTCGTACAGGCGGCAAATGATGCTCTTCCCCTCTTTGCCACCGTCCAGTCGTGGTTCAGCCATCTTGACCGTCTCCAACACCACGTGGCTGTACCGAGCCGTCGAATCCTGCACCACTCTGACTGGACATGCCCACGCGCTTGGATCACTTCCTTCGCGCAAGAGGCCGGGGAGGACCGGCTTTGCGTTGTACGCTCGGGCGACTGCTACCACATCGCCATCCATGAGGTTGCCGCGATGCGGATAGAGGGCAAAATCAACCACGTGGCTTCCACGATCCATCTGCGAGTCTGGATACGCCCCAGCCTTGAGCAGCGACAGACGCATCAGACCGCCCTCGACCGAGTAGCCGTACTTGGTCTGCGTCAGCATCGCCAGTCCGTAGTTCGGCTCGGACAGGTCCGCGAATCGATGGCCGCACACTTCAAACTTGGCTGCCTCCCACGACGTGTTGCGTGTCGTCGGTCGCGCTACGTGTCCGAACTGCATTTCGAAGTTCGCCATATCCGCCCGGATTGTCGTTGGCACCTCGAATCGCAGGAAACGATGCGACTCGTGCCAGTCGATCGACAGCCGGATCTGCACCGCTGTCCGCGCCTGCTCTCCATTCGCAAGCTGAGGGATGAGCGGGATCGCGTCCATAAAGATGCTAACCTTGGCGCGACTCGCTTCACCAATCGCGAGTGTCGCGGAAAGGCTCGCTCGATATGGGCCGACATCCTCGATCTCTACCGTCTCGAAAGCGAGCTGCTCCACGGTGTCGAGCGAGTACATCTCCACCTCCCAGTTGTCGAACTCGGGCGGATAGTCCTGACTGATGGAGAGACCGGCCGACTGACCAAATGCCACCATCTCGCGCCGTTCCGCCTTGTCGTAGATGGAAGAGATGCGGCCATCCTGGATGCACAAGCGCATGTCGGCCGATTCGAGCACGAAAGCATCGCCCTCTTGACGCGCGGATACCGGTTCTTGCTGGGATGAAGATGCGGTGTGCTTCAGAACACCACAAGCGTGGATATCTCGGAGCAGAAGCAGCGAATTTCCGTTTTGCAGCTTTTGCAGCACTTGCGGCCTGCTTTGTAGCTTGTCGTAGGCGGCCGCATCCAGTTCGACCACCTCCTGCCGCGGCATGGCGAGAGTGTTTGGCGCGAGGAGAATCGCATCCGCAGAGGCAGCACGATCAGGCTGTTGTGCATGTAAGACTGCACTGGCTTCAGCCCGGAGCTGGTCCATCTCGACCGTCAAGCGGGCGTAGGTGTTTTTCATGTCGTCGTACACCTTGCGGATCGAGCTGCCCGGAAGGCAGTCGTGGAATTGACCGAGCATGAACGGCTCCCACACCTGCAAGAGCCGCTCGTGAGGATAGCTGTACCCAGCATCGCGAACCGCAGCCAGGGTGCAGAGCCATTCGATGTCGTGCAGCCGCAGCTCGACTAGACGATTCCACCGTTTCATTTCGGCCTGGCTGGTGTAGACGCCACGGTGGAACTCGAGGTACACTTCGCCGCTCCAGGTCGCGAGGCGATCGCCATTACGAGTGGTCTCGAGAACGTGCTCGAAGAAGTCCTTTGCACTCCGCCCGAGTGTGACTTTGGGAACCTCGGTGTAGCCGTTGTCGTGCAGCGCTCGTGCCCTGCGCAGTCTTTCGATGTGTTCAGGATTGGCACCACCGCCGCCGTCGCCGAAACCAAAGAGGTGCAGGCAGCTGGGCTGGACTCCGAGATCTGGATTGCGCCGAGTCGCTTTGATCATATCGTTGATCCCGCACCGACTGTTGTAGTTGGGGATGGAGCTCTGTGAGAAGATGATCTGAGTACCGTCCAGGCCGGTCCACATCATGGTGCAGTGCGGGAAGGTGTTGGTGCGGTTCCAGCAGAGCTTCTGCGTGAAAAAGTAGTCGAATCCTGCCTGTCGTGCCAGCTGCGGGATCTGGCTGTTGTAGCCAAACGAGTCGGGCAGGAAGAAGACGTTGCTAGTGGTTCCAAAGCGCGAATGTAAGTAGCGCTGACCGTACAAGAGCTGGCGAGCAAACGATTCGCCGCTCGGCATGTTGGCATCGCACTCGACCCACAGGCCACCGATCGGCTGGAAGCGGCCCTCCTTGACTTTTTGGCGGATCCGCTCAAAGAGCGAAGGATAGAGTGTCTCTATCCACTTGAATTGCTGCGGAGAGCTGGCGGTAAAGCGATACTCGGGATATCGCTCCATGAGCGCTAGCTGCGTCGTCCACGAACGTGCCACCTTTTGCTGCGCCGCATCGAAGCTCCATAGCCAGACGCAATCGATATGACAGTGGCCTAGACTCCAAACCAAAGCCTTGTTGTCCTTGCTGGCTATCTCGGCATCACCAGCAAAGAGAGACGAGGCTGATGACGACCATGCTTCTCCGAACACTTCCCCGGCGAGCTGACGACAGCGAGCGATGCTGGACACGTCGGATCTGCGGAAGATGTTCATGATCTCGTTGGCGATGAAGAGCGCTTTGTTCTGCAGCACTCCGTCCTTGGGCAGCTCTTCGACACACTGCTGGAGCGTGGTAAAGTCGTACATGAGCTGCCACGCCTCGAGCCGCTTGAGCACGAGATCGACCTTGGCGAGCTCAAAGTAGCGATCTGGATCCGGATCCGATCCGATTCCAAGGTCGTAGTACCTCGTGTCTTTCCCGTGGATGCCAAACATGCCGTTGCCTGTGATCTCGACGTAGTAGACGGCACCTTTGCGTGCCTTGTCGCCTTTTGGCAATGGAAAGTCGTGGCGACGATCGAATTCCTGTCCGCCTGTGAAACCTTGCAGAGGGTTGCCGTGTTGGTCGAAGATGAGCGCCTCACAGCTCGCATCGAATTCGAGCTCGACGCCATCGAGGTCGGCCCACTCGGTGGGCACGCTCAGAGTGAGCTTCAGCCAGTGGTTGGACCAGCTTGGGCCGAACTTGTCGCCAATTCGACATGGTCGGAAGGTTTGTGCGCTCGCCTCGGCGAAATTTGGACGCATGCCATTTGGCGGACTCCAGCTTTCTATTTGGACGTTTTCTGTTGCATTGGTGCGCCCGGCGTAGAGGAGGGACGAGACGTTGTCCGAGGCAAATTGTCCGCCGATGAATTCGTGGATCCGCTTCTCTTGGATACTGCGGATAGGCAGTGGACGAACAGGGCGCGTGGCCTGCTCCGAGAGGAGTGGATACGGTGCTTGATGCGATGTTGGACCACACATTGCGGCGGTAGAGAGGAGAACAGGTTGCAGCTCGTGTCGGGATCTGTTGGGCTGCGAAGCGCTTGTCTCGAAAGATGATGGTAGCTCTGAGCAATTGACTGACGTTGACCAACAGGCCGAGACTTGCCTGATCCGAGCACCTTGGTTGATTCCTTCGCTCCTCGCAAGGGTCCAAGTGAGGACCCCTCAAGCACACACGCAAGGCAAACACGACAATGCGTGAGTATCTGCACGCGTGTGTCTTGCGTTGCCGCTTCTGCCGAGCTGAGACGACAAGCGTAGTCGCCCACCGTGATTGCGGTCCGTGGACGCCGTGCGTTCTCGGCTCTGCGGACCGATCTGCGAGCAAGCCTATCTCCAAATTGCCAATTACAAGGCAGCAGAAGGATGCGAGGCCACCTTGTTGGAGGTAGCGGGCCTTCACGGGGAGCTAGACTTGGAATACGGTGCTGTAGCGGCGATCTCGGACTGGAAAGGTGAGGTTGAAGCCGGGCTTCTAGACGGGGTGTGAATGCGGTTGGTGGCCGAGGACGGGCCGAGGACCAGGGGGAAGGAGGAAGTGTGGTGCGGATGTGCGGGTTTGCGAGGGAAGGGAGGCTTCATTCGAAAGACTCACAACAGCTCGAAGGGAAGCTGAGTGCGGAGGCAGGGGGTAAGTAAGCGAGGCAAGTGGCGACGCGTTCGCTTGCACAGGTGGCTTGGTGCGGTTCTTGGCAGCGACTGTCGAAAACATTTCCGTGGAGCTGCTCTCAGCGCGCTCTGTCACTCACGAGACAACGGAGCGGCTAAGGCGAGCAAGGAGATGGGGGGGGGGGGGGGAGGGGTGTACCAACTCCGATACCCCGCGTGTGGGAGAGCGCGGGCGACGATGGACCGCCGGGTAGCGACCGGTCAACTCGGTGATGAAGGCTGAGATGACGAGCCGAGTTGCGCGACCTCTGATGCATATGACAGCAGAGCTAAGCGGCACGTTCAAGGAAGAGGGGCCCCCACGTCGAAGGGCATGCCGCGGGGTTGCAAGCGTGCCGACCGCGTGGGTCTGAATCTTGACAACCGCTCTGTCCGCACCCGCACCCGCCACCGCCGCCTCAGGTTGTGCGCTTCCTCCGCTTCCCCCGCACTGGCCGACGGCCGCCATCCCTGACAGACGCGGCAATTTTCAAAAAAAAAAAAAAAACATTTTTCAAAGACCGAGGAAGCCGACTGCCGCCATGCCGTTTTGTGATTTTGCGGGGCCCCTTGACTTCGGCGATCTTGTCCTCCCCCACTTCCATCGGTGCCCACGCCGCGCTCTCATCCCATGCCCTCGCCCCATCTCACAGTACCTTCCGTGGCTGCAAGTCTCGTGCTTGGTTCGCAACATGGCCAGCGAGGCGTACTGTATGAGCCAGACAAGGCCGGCATCGGCAACAGGGCAACCCCGCACTCAGGAACGGGCACGTTTGCAGGCTGTCGGCTGGCGGGTGAGTTAAGGGTCTCGAACTGCCGAGCTCGGTCCAGTCCTATGATACCTGACAAGTATGCAGAGTGACCGCTTTATCCAACCCCACTCGTGCCCTCTCACTCTCCACGAAGCGAGGTCGGTGCATTCGCGTGCTTAAAAGCAAGGCGGATCTTGGTGGGTCCCGTCACGCATCCTCCTCTGTGATCACCATCACTACTTCATCAGTTTCCGTCGTTGCTGAGACGCGCGAGGTCCCACAGCTGTACCTGCACTGCTACCCGCACTTGCGGCAACGCCCGAACTCGCTCGAAGAATTTCATTTCGGTCCTCGGCATCGTCCCACCCTACACCAAATTCTCTGACCCTACAACCTCACTCTCGACCACCATGGAGAAGCTCGACAAGGTCACGACGCAGACCTCCATCGCCACGGACGATGTGAGTACGTTGGAGAAAGCCCCCGGGCACCACTACAAGCTCGGGGTGCCCGTTCTGCCAGACACGATCGTCGAAGAAGTCGACAGAGAAGTGCTCGAGTACACCGACCAGAGCATCACCATCACACCGGAGGAGAACAAACGACTCTTGCGCATCATCGACCGACGCATCCTCCCCGTCATCATGGTCACCTACTTCCTCCAATCGCTCGACAAGGGCCTTGTTTCGCTTGCATCCATCATGGGCATCCAGAAGAAGTGGCACCTCGAGGGCCAGCAGTACTCGTGGCTCACCACATGCGTCTACCTCGCCATCATCTGCGCCGAGTATCCCCAGAACCGCGCGCTCCAGGTTCTCCCCATCCACCGCTGGCTCGCATTCTGCATTTTCGCATGGGGCGCCGTCGTCGCATCCTCCGCCGCCGTCACCAATTTTCACGGCGCCGTCATCGTCCGCGTCCTACTCGGCTGCTTCGAGTGCGTCTGCCAGCCCTGCTTCATGCTCCTCACCGCCACCTATTACCGCAAACACGAGCAGGCTAGAACGATCAGCTTGTTCTATGCGGGTAATGGAATTCAAACTGTCGTGGGCGGGTTACTCGGATATGGCTTCTACCAGGTCAAGGGAGGAAAGCTGGAATCGTTCCAACTCATGTTCATGATCTTGGGATTGCTCACCGTGGTGTGGTCCGGAGTGGTGCTGTGGATGCTTCCGCAGTCTCCCATGAAGGCGCGTGGCATTTCGGAAGAGGACAAGGTCAAGATCGTCGAGCGCGTGCGCGAGAACCAGACGGGCGTGCAGAACAAGAAGCTCAAGTGGTCGCACATTCAAGAGGCGCTGCTCGACCCGCAAATTTGGGCCTTTTTCTTCATCCAAGTCCTGAACACGATTCCCGTGGGCGGTCTCGGCGCCTTCACCAACATCATCATCAAGAACAACCTCGGCTTTACAGTTCTTCAGACCGACCTTCTAGCCATTGCTCAGGGAGCGATTCAGGTGGCGGTTCTCTTCTCGGCAGCGTATTTGTCTAAATGGACGAACCAGACGCTGTTGGTAGCGGTTGCGTTTTCGATTCCGTCGCTCATTTCGGCGGTAGTCTTCCTTACGGTTCCGAACGACAAGGCGCACGTAGGAGGACTGCTGACGGTCTTCCTCATGACCATCTGCTACAACGGTGTGTCGCCTCTGTCGTTCAGTCTGCTCACACGAAATGTCGGAGGTCAGACAAAGAGGACCGTTGCCATCGCTATCAACTTTATCGGCTGGGCGGCTGGAAATTCCGCAGGCCCGCAACTCTTCCGCTCAACTGACGCACCGCACTACCGCAAGGCTTTTGCCGGCCAGCTTGGATGCTACGTTGCGATTATCCTGCTCTTCCTCGCGCTGAGGGTGTACTACATGGCTCAGAACCGAAAGAGGAGAATCGCGGCAAACCTGCTCAAGGGAAGACAAGCAGATGCGGCCGACGAAATCGACCTCTCGCTCGCGTTTGACGACCTGACCGACAAGCAGAACCCCAACTTCCGCTACGTGTTTTAAAGTCTCCCATCCTCCCGTCTGTATTCTCCTCCTTGTATCAATTACTTCCGTGCCCAGCGTGATCAATTTCAGAGCCTCGTCACCTTCAATTCTTTGATTTGTCCCGCTTCCGCGTACCTGCGCTGCACCCTGTCCCAGCGCAAATCAGGCGGTCTGCTTTGCGGGCCAAGTGAAGGTCTCGAAACCGCACACGAGCGTGCACCCCGTAGCAAAATTGCAATGCGTCGCACGGCGTCACCTTGGCGACGTACGAGGTGAGACGGCTCCCGTCCAATTTCGATCCCGCAGCCACTTCGCCGTGATTTGACATCGCGCTTCCGCACTTGCAGCCTCGGCGCGGACTCGAAAGCAGAGTACCTTTGCGCACGCATGCCAACCAACTTGCATTTCAGTGACCGAGCAGCGTATTGCTCAAGCTTGTGAAGGCTTCACTCGCGTTTGGCCCACCCGACTCGCGCCTTCCCTCCAACGCGCCATCTTTCCGACAACAAGGAGCATCGCTCTGCACGGTGATCTCAAAGCAAGAACTCGGCACCAATTGAATAAAAAACGAGTTTGTGCGTGCTTTTGGACTAGGTGCTAGTCTGCTGTGCTACGTGCTGTGCTTCCTGACTGGCCAGGAGCGTGTCCAAGGACGAGAGCAAGCTGTCGAGCTTGCCCTCGAGACCGCCGACGACCTCTTCGGTCTGTTCCAGGTTGGCGAGGAGGCCGAGGATCTCGTTGCGTTCCATCTGGGCGGTTGCGGGATCGGTGCCGTCGCTCGTGGGTATCTTTAGAGCATTGAGCGAGGCGAGTATCTCTTTGAGCTGCGCCGCCTCGTCCTGTGCCGGAATGGACGAATCGCTCTCCGAATCATCGTCATCCACACTGCTGGAGTGTGCAAGCCCGCTACTAGTCGCTTCTGCCCCGGATGCAGATTGCGATGGCTGCGCGAGAACGTCGTTCAGAAAGTCAAGATCCGACTGCTGGGAGCCCAATGCACCTTGACCATGCGGAGACTCTTGCGTTGGTGTCCTGTCGGCCGATGCGGCCGCCTCGGCTTGCAAATGAGCAAGGTGCGGGTTGGACAGTACAGCAGGCGATTCGGACGCTGCTGGCTCGGGCAGGCCATCGCCGTTCAGCACGGGTGGCTGCATCGACGCAGCCTGGATGGCCGCCCAATCAAGAGGCTCGTCCGAGGACGAAGCAGGCGATATCGAACGACCCAGACCCGACGGAACCGAAGGAGTTGCCCTGCCCGGCGCGCCCGAGCCCGCGTGTGACGAAGCCATGGCGGCTGCTACGGCGCGTGCATTCGTCATGGTGGCTGCCGGATCGTTGGAGACATGCTTGATCCACGCGCCGATGGCGCCGAGGTATCCCTCGTGGCGAAGGAAAAAGGCGCGCTTGGTGCCCTTGCTCCAGAAGCGGATGGCGTACGAGAGCGTGCTGATGGTGGCCTGGTGGCCTCGAATGAAGCAGCCGCCAAAGTAGATGCGGTCGAGGTTGTACTTTTCGGCATTCATGTATGCGATCTGACCGATGTTGTTCGAGATGGCATAGAGTAGAGACTTGCAGATGTCTTCGGATCGGAACTTTTTGCGGCGCTCTTCGGCGTTGCGAGGCGCTGACGAACTTGGATCCTTGCGGAAGACTTTGCCAAAGGACGATGCGATGGTGGAGCTCTTGAGGCCGAGGTGGTTGAGCCCGACAGAGCCGTAGATGTCGCCGACGAGCATGTCGACATTCGCATTGTCGCCCTGTTCCGAGAGCTCGAGCATCTCGTCGAAGCTGTCGGCGTCGGTGAGCAGCGAAAGGAGGCCCCACAGCGTGCCTCCGCCTAGCGAGGTGCCCGAGACACGTTCGAACTTGCCAAAGTCGTCGACCTTGATGATGGAGACGCCGGAGCCGATGTTGACGAGGAGGCAGGGCAGCTTTGGTGACGGATGCGAGTCAAAGACGGGCGCGTAGAGGGGCGGGTTTGGCGAAGGTCTGGGCAAAGGATGCTGGAGGGGCACCGAAGAGCGCAGGGCTTGCGCGTCTGCCCTTGCTTCCGGGTTCTGAGGGAGGGGCGAGTGAAGGGCCGCGACGAGCTCGTCCGAGTACCAAAAGACCTCGTCTGGAATGAGGGTGATAAAGTTGAGGCCGGTGATGAGGCAGCCCATCTCGTCTTCCTTTTGGACCTCGATGCCGAGTTCTTGCTCAAAGAGGTCGTACATGAGGTGTGCGCCGCCGCCGGTGGCCATGAGCTTGACGCCCTTGCGCATGTCCTGTATCGAGACGCCATTGACGGATGCGGAGCGCTCGATGAGTTCGCGCAGGAAGCGGATGCAGTTTTCAATGTCGTTGGTTTCGAACTTGATGAAGTTGAGACGGCCGCCGGGCAAGGCAGCGGGGAGGGATCTGCGCTTGAGGAGGGTGGAGTGGATGGCGGATGCGGATGCGGATGCGAGCTGCGGAGAGCCGAGGATGGCGGTAGGCGTGAGCGTTCCCGAAGCGATGGGATGGTCGGCGTGTGCGGGAGGCGTGCGGAAGCCGCTGTGCGCGCCGCCGTTGGAAGAGGCCTGCCGAGAGCGAAAGTTGCTGTTGCTTGTTTTTGGCGAGAGGGCGTTGGGCGTGGACGAGGACGCTGCGGTATGTGGCAAGGGTGTGGAAAGGGCGACGGGCGAACCGGGGGTAGGCGAGGAGGGCGTGGAATCGGAAGAGCGCGAGCGGGTAAAGTAGACGACCTTGGCTAAGGAGCCGCCAACGTCGACGGCGATGTGGGAGACGGCCTCGATGTGGTTGGGCAGGTAGATGTCGCGGCTGTCTCTCTGATCGGGGCTCGATGCGCCGTCCTCCATGATTTTGGCTCCTCGCGTGTCGACAAAGATCTCGACGGGAGGAGCCGGGAAGGCTTGATGGCTGTTCATGGCTGCAGCGATGGTGGAACGAGCGGGCTGTCGTTGTTATTGGATCGTGAGCGCGCTTGAGCGGCGTGGTTGATGCGATGCGGGTGCGGGTGCGGGTGCGGGTGCACCGCCGAAGGATGCGTGACAGCCACGAGAAGAGTGCTGCGCGGACTTTTGGAGTCGGCGGCGAGCGAGCGAGCGTCGCGCGATGATGCTGTTGCTGCTGCAGCGATGATGGTGGTCGTGGAGATGGCCGTCGAGGTGGCCGCGCTGATGGTGGTTAGCCGGAAGAGCGGAGCACCGGCCAACGGAGATGCCCCGACCGGGACGGATGCGACTGCAGCAGCAGCAAAGTTGGCTGATTCAAAGTGGCCGTTTGGTGCGGTGCGGTGCTGCACACTGGCCACTCCCAATCAGATGCACCCGATTGCGATTTGGGAGGTAAAACCCAATTTTGGGGGGGAAAATGCAGGTGCCTGGCTGGAAGGCGTTGGTCGGAATTGCCGGTTGTTGAGCACCCTGCGAGGGCTCGGTGTTGGGAGCCTCTCTCTGCTTCTGCTTGCTCAGTCACTCGACCTCCGCAAAGCTGTGGGTGGATTGGATCGCCGCAAATCTTTGCCTCCCCACACACAAAGCCAAACCCTCTGTCTTTCTCTCGCCAAGACGGCCCTGGAATTCATTGACTTCATTGAATCTTGTTGCGGCCCGGCCCGCACGGACACTCTTCTGGACCGCACCAACGGACCCACTCGGATCAGCTGCTGAGCGCCAAGCGGAGATGCACGGCTCGGACGAGGGACGCCGCTGCTTGCCAAGCCACTTTCCGGAAGGAGTTGGTTGCCGAAGCCTTCTTCCTTGATGCCGGCGAAACTTTCAAAATGTTAGACCGGCTCGCAAGCTGGGGTCTAAGTCCGCAGTCACGTCCGCGTGGCTCAGTCCACCTCGTCTGGAGCTCTATCTCCGACTGTCGCCAGTAGATCGTAGCCGCAAAGTCCACGGAAGAGGGGTGATATTGCAGATGATGCTGTTGAGAAAAGTACAAGTGTCCACAGTCTACTTGGACGAGGCATCGGCCTGGCCGCGCAGGATCCTCGCAATGAGCGAGTTGTAGGGGCTCGGATTGTCGAGGTAGATGTGGTGGCCGCTGTTGGGCACGACAAAACAGTTGGTCTGGGCGTTGCCCTGCTTGCGCAGCCGCTTGACCGCCTCCTTGCCGCCGCGAACGTCCATCCAGTCGTGCTCGCCGTACAGGAAGCTCATCGGCATCTTGAGCCGCTCGATGCGCTCCACCATGGGTCGACGCGCATACGCGCCCGGCGCCAGAATATGCGCAAGGCAGTACTCGCCCGAGCCTTTGCTTAGGAAAATGCTCTGGCAGTACGCGTGCAGCGACCGCAGCTCGTCTTCCGGCAGCGCTCCGAATCGCCTTGACGTATAACGCCCAGCCAGCATGGGCCCAAAGAACAACGAGCTGCGTAAGATACCGAATGGCGACACGTTCTGCTCCCATAGGAAGCTAAACACCGATCGTACCCGCTTCGAGATGCGCGGCGGCTCGTGCGATCCCTTTTCCGGCTCGTTCGACTGTCCCGAGCGTGGCACCTTGGCCGAATCGACGCTTTGCGCCGTCTCCGAGCGTTCCAACGGCCGCGGCGCGGAAGCAGCATCACTGCCCTTGCCCTGGATCACGTTGCCGGCACGGTTCCGCGCCGCCTTCTTGGCCATCTCGTTGGCCATCTGCGTGTCCTTGAGCTCCTGCCTCGCGTTCTGCGGCGCCACGTCTTCCTGCGGCTGACGCACCTCCTGCTCCACTGCAGATCCGTTCTTGGGCCGGAACGTGCTGCCCGGCTCGTCTTCGGGCGGCGCGTTGGGAATGCCGACCGGACTGACGAGCACCAGACGCTCGACGCGCGATGGGTAGCGCAGCGCATACGCTAACGACAGGTAGCCGCCCAGGCTGTGGCCCACGAGCACCATCTTTTCGAGGCCCATCTTGCGTCGCCAGTCTTCGAGGCTGCTGATGAAGAAGCTCTCGGCGGCGGCGACGCGCGAGTCGGTGCTCTTGGTCTCGGACGACGGGATGTGGAAGGTGGGGCGCGACGACCGACCCATGCCGAGCCAGTCGAGCACGTACAGCCGCGAGTTGGGCACTTCCGCCATCGACTTGATGTTTTGAAAGAAGAAGGCGCTACCAGCGCCGTAGCCGTGGGCGAGCACGATCTTGGTCTCGTTCTTGATCTGCTCCTCCTTGTCCTTGGAGTAAGGAATGCCGATCTCGAGCATGTTGAGTTTGCGACCCGATGGCGGCATATACGGCTTGATGTGGTCCTGCGACGCGATCTGGTGAGATTCGAGGTTGTCGTTGAGCACCGGTTCGCCCAGCGTAGATGCCTCGGGTGCAGGCAGGCCTTCCGTCGACGAAGGAGCCATGGCCGGCGACGAGGTGAGCGAGGTGGGGCGCGAGGCTGATCTCGCATCGCCAACGTTGGGAGCAGAACCAATATCGACAAGACGGATGCAGCCGACCTTGCCATCGGCAGCGGGAGTCAGGCCGATGGTCATCGTCGACGGCTCCTTGGATCTATGGAAAGGCCAGAACTTGTGCGTCGAAAAGAGAGAGCCGGCCGAGGAGTGCGCTGGGTTGGTCGACGACGAAGACGCTTGATGTGAGCTGGCGCTGGCAGCCCTGCGAGCCGATTCGAGTCCTTTGGCAAGGCCCTTTCCGTCGCGCAGCTCCTCGTCTTCGCACACGACATTGTTGACCGTGGCGCCTTCAAAGTAGCCAGTAGAGCGATACAGGTGGAGCTCGGCTTGCGCGGCGTCCTCGACGGGGTTTGCTTTCCACCAAGCGGCGAACGAAGTCTTGAAGCTCGACGGGATGGGGGGAGCAACATACGCAGCGTCCGAGATGGGCGTTGCCAGCGCTGTGTCCGATGCCGACATTGGCTTGACACCAGCGTCGGCATCGAGCGTGGCTCGGAGTGCAGGCGAGGCTGGCGCTGTTTGCGCTGAGAGGAGCGATGCCTGACGCTTCTGCTGGTTTGCGGACAGCTCGGGTGTGGCGGCGCGCGACGAAGCCGAGTCGGGAGTGCCGAGTGCTGACGCTTGCTGCGTCTGCATGGTGAACGCGACCTGACTGAGCGTGCGTGCTCGGGGGAGCCGAGAGGCTGGAAGAGGGAGTGAGCGGCCGAGAGCCAAGACGATGCCGGATGTTTGAAGCAGGCGAAGATGGTTGGGGCACCGACGAACGCAAGACCACGCCTGGAGCATGCGAGTTGCCCACGGCAGTCTATATACGAAGCTCTACTCGAGGGAGCTGATACGGAAAGACAAAGGGAAGGGGTGGAAGAGGGTCTGATAGGAGGGTTGCTTTCGGAAGAACGTGTCACACCCTGGGCGAGCCAGGCAGGGGATCCAGGGTCAAGGTCGGGTGCATTTTCCGAGCATTCACTGCCCTCGGCACCAATCCTTTGTCCCAACTGCGCCGGCACAGACGCTTTCCTTTACTCAGCAGGGCGTCCGAGGATCTCGCAGCGTGCTGGAGCTTGCTCCTGCGCAGGTGGAGGTGGGCGGAGAGTTTTTAGGGTGGAGCATGCGGACGAGCGCGGGCATGCATTTGGTGATTTTCGCGGCGATGCGGCGGTGCCTGACGGCGTGTGGACGCGTCATGACTTGGGCCTATTCGCCCCTTTGGCACGTTGCCCTTGCCGCGCTTGCAATTTCTCCTCCGCGGAGCGACTCCAAATCTTCCATCTCACCGCCCGCTATCTGTCTATAGCTTCCGCTCAGCCCGTCACTCATGTTGAGTGCTTGCGCATACTGTCCTCCGATCCGAAGGCGTGGCAGCAAAAGGCAAGAAAAGAGAAGTGTGGAGACTGCATGAGTCGAACACGCGACCTTTCGCAAGTTAGCACGTGCTAAGCGAACGCTCTACCAACTGAGCTAAACCCCCGATGTTAGAGTCGAGCAGGCAGTTGCGTACACAAAGGAGCGTCTGAGTTCAAGCTTGAGCGACAGCCCAACTTGCCAAATCGGGCGGTGGGGCCGTGCCGAGATGCGCGTGGATGGGGTGCGGATGCTGAATTTGGCTGGTGTGTGGAGTTGCGCACCCAAAAAACAAGGCACACTGGGGACGTGCATGTCCAGGGTCGCCTTCGGACGTGCGCAGCCGCTCCACCCAACTGCCATCCACCTTTGCGTCTCGTCACTTGCTTCACCTCGCAACTCTCCGCAACACCATCACAATCACCATGTCGGAACTCTTCGACAGCTACGCCTCTGACTTGCAGCAGCTCAAGGACGGCATCAGGCAGAAGATCGACTCGGCCAAATCGCAGAATGGCGAAGCCAAAAAGTCGACGCTGCGTCGCGCCGAGATGGAGCTCGAAGAGGCCGAAGAGGTGATCTCCCAGATGGACATCGAGGTGCAGGGATTCCCACAGTCTGTTCGGTCACGCTTCTCGGTCCAAATCCGAGGTTTCAAGCAAGAAATCCAGGGTCTGACCAAGGAGGTTCGTGCCGGTCTCGCCTCTTCCTCCAGCGGCTCGGGGGGCGCGGCGTACAACCCGGCATATGCGGATGATGATGCAGACCTCGAGGCTGCTGATTCGGCAACGGCAAATCGTCAGAGACTACTCCAGGGGACCGCTTCGCTCGAGGATGGAACCAGGAGACTCGAGGAGTCCAACCGCCTTGCGCTCGAAACCGAAGACCTCGGCGCCGATATCCTCCGCGACCTCAGAAGCCAGAGAGAACAGATCGAGAACTCGAGAGACACGGTAAGCCCAAACACCACCAGGATCGAATGTCAAGCCCGGTACTGACTTTCAATTTGGTGTTACTCACAGCTCCGACAAGCGGATCAGAGCATCGACCGCTCGTCCAAGACTCTGTCAAAGATGATTCGACGGTATGCATGCCCTCCCCTGCACCTCTTAAGCTGATACGCGCAGACACAGCTGACCTCGTCGCATCTCTTCACGCTTGACTTTCGCATTGCTACAGGGCCAAACAGCAAAAACTGGTTACCGTAGGCATCATTGTCTGCCTCGTGCTGCTCATCCTGCTCATCCTGTACAACAAGTTCTTCTAGTTCTCGCCCCCGTCTTGCTCTGTTGCATCCCCTTGTCACGCTGTCCAACCGAACTTCACTTGTACATACCGCTGGAAGCGAACGCCATCGACTCGCGCCATTTTCAAAACACCCAATCGCGCAAAAGATCTCCAAAGGATGTGTCATCTGCCATTCAATAAGACAGCAGAGCTAAACTGATGTATGCGCGCGCTCAAAGCACGCCGAGAGGGTCCGAGGTGATGCCTGCGCTCGCCTTGACGTCCGTCTTGGACTCGGATCCGCTTTGCTCCTGGACGCCATCACGGCCGTTGGGAGCCTGGTCGTGCCTGCCCGGCTGGTTAGCTCCCGCACCTTGGCTGCGGCGGGGTGCACCTAGGCCCTGCGCTCCAGCACCGCCATAGTTGGAGCGCATCGCAACGTGCTCGCGCTGCATCTCGGCACGCACGCTCGTCGCTGCCGCCCAAGGGTTGTGCACCGTATGCGCGGCCGAGCCCGACATGCTTTGCTTGTAAGGTTGCTGCAACGGGTCGGCGTTGAAACTTTGCGCTGAAGGCGTCGGAGCCGCGTATCTACCAGCTGCCGGCTGCACGCTGCCTGGTGTTGCCGAGTAGCCTCCCTCGCTCTGGCTGGTAGCCTGGTACGGCGCCGGTGTGGATTCGGATGGGGCTATGGCAGGTGTCGCCATGGCTTCTTGCAGTCGGCCCCATCCGCCGATCAAAAGGTTCTTCATGCGGTTGGCCGCTGCATCCGCCGCGCTTGAAACATTCGCCGCCGTCGCCGCGGAGGAGTCCAAGGGCCCCGCATTTGCGGAGGCACTCGAACTTGATGATGACGATGATGTCGCTGCTGTACCTGGCTGCGCTCGGACCCGTGGTTGACGAGCTTGGTACGAAAGACGACTATGATCGAGCGGAGCGTTGCTTGGCAGATCGACAGCTCCTGCTGCCACGCCAGCGGCGGACGCTAAAGGGTCCAAGACAGGATCAGGGTCACCTGCGCCAACAACTGCGATGGTCGCGTCCGCCTTTTCTAATTCGCCGGCGCCTGGCACTGGCACTGGAACTGGCTCGGCGGCAGTGCCTGCATCGCTGCCTTGAGCGTTGGCAGTCTCGGGAGGGGGAGGGGTGGCAGCATCGGTGCCTCGAACTGCACGCTCCAGCCTCTCCCTCGCGCGACGCCTTTCTTCGGCTTCCTTTTCGAGCGCGGCATTCATGTCGCCATTGGCGCGGCGGAAGAGCTGCTCGAAATAGCGCACGTCGCGCGAGTCTGCGATGAGGACGCCCATATCGGTGCCCTTGCGCTTGGGATCGCGATCGTCGAGCTCGGGCTGATAGTGTGGATTGCGATGTTTGGACTTGACCTTGTCGCTCAGCAGATACGTCCACGCGCTGATAGTACGGGAAGGGAGCGTCGGTAGCACTCTACCCTCGTCGTCGCGCGGTGAGAGACGTTCGCGTTCGCAGTCCATGAGGAAGGTGCCGTACTTGCACTCCTGCACCGCTTGGAGAAGCTCGACGAGGTAGCTGGATGCATATTCGAAGCGATCAGGGAACTGGCGCATGATCTGCCACATGCAGTCGAGGAACTGGTGAAAGACGGGAGAGGTCTCCTTGATGTTGGAGCCCTTCTTGGGCCCCGAGGCAGCGCTGGATGTGGCGGCGGAAAAGTTGGCGGTGAGCTGTTTGGTAAAGCCCCAGAAGGCGTTGGCAGCCGCTTGGCCGTCGAAACCGCCGCCGCCGGTCGAGGCATTGGCAGGCTTGTCGAGCTCAGAGTCGGTATCGTCGTCGTCTGCGTCGGCATCGTTTGAGTTGGCGTAGGTCTGCTTGGAGGCGACGGTAAAGTAGCGGTCGGAGCCCTTGAGACCACCTCTGTCGGTGAACTTGTGACCGAAGCTGAGCCAGTCCTTTTCGATGAGCACGGCGAGGCCGTCGAAGGTGCGAAAGTAGGGGTCGAGGCAGATCTGTGCGATGGCGGCGAGCTGGGAGGTGCGATCCCAGCCGTCGGAGCAGTGGATGAGGACGTGGGAGCTGTTGATGTGCACGTTGCGGACGATGGACATGGAGCCTTCCATGAGCGACTGGATGTGCTTGAGCCACATGGACCTGCGCAATGCGAGTGGGTCGACGGGGGTAGGGTTGAGACGGAGGACGGAGCCGGAGCCGTCCGAGACGGCGTCTGCGGCCGAGGCGTCGCCGAGGGCCTCTACGCGCATGCCAAAGGTGGCGATGGGTTCGGACTCGCGCAGCGCATCTGTAAGCTTGTTGAGGCTGTCGCGCATGACGTGGATGTTTTCGATGCCGAGGTAGGACTTTTTGCAGCCCTTGTAGTACTCCATGTTTTCTGTGCCGGCGCCTTTGGCGACGTTGGCCATGGCATTGGTGGTGGGGCGAGCGTCGATGATGAGGTTGGTTGTGGTGGCGCCGTAGACGGTTGCGACGGCGGGTGCACCGGCGGCAGCAGAGGCGGCGCCGCTGGAGGCGTCTGCGGCGGCTTTGGCTGTGATGGACTCTGGATCGGCAAAGTGGTGGGATGTGAAGATGGCCTCGATGAGTTTCTCGTCTTGGATGGAGCGAGCGTTTTTCAGGCCGACCATGGGCTGACTGGAGCGGGTGATGGAGGCGTGGTTTGCCCAATGGAGGTAGGTGAGGGCAGGCACGCGTGCCTTGCTGCGGTACTTTGCTGCATAGCTCAGGGTGGTATCGCTGATGCGCGAAGGCACGGCCATGAGGGCGGGGTAGGTGGCACAGAAGGCATACTGTGCGTTGATGTCGGTGAAGCGCCAGGCTTTGGAGCGCGAGCCGAGGCCCTGACGTGCGAACTCTTGCTTGGGATCGTAGATGCGCCGAGGCTGGGTCGGCGAGGAGGAAGGCTGATAGTGGAATGCGTAGAGCTGCGAGACGTCGGTGAGGATGGCACACTCCTTGAGGCTGTCAAAGACGGCGAGCTGGTCGTGTTCAGAGTGGAGGGCGAGCGCGGCCGAGTCAAAGTTCTTGAGGAAGAGGGTGATGGGATAGATGCGCTGGGAAGGTTGCGATGCTTGGGTGGAGATGCGTAGCGAGGGGATGCGGGTTGCTTTGAGGATGAGGGAGAGCGGAAGGGAGTGGATGCGCGCCGATTGATCTGAAGCCGATGCTGTGCCAAGTTGGAAGATGAGATGGTGCGAAGTGAGGCGGAGGGATGCCTTGTGGCAGGTTGGATCGCCCTTTCGCTGGAACCAGACGCCTTGAAGCTGCTCGATCTTTGGCTCTGGCGGGGGCACGAGGAGCGCCGAGGTGGAGGACGACTGCATCTCGAAGCCGTATCGGTCGAGCCGGCCCGCGACGGAAGCAAAGTGGTGCAGCAAGGATGATTCCGAGTGGTGGGCGGCTGCCAAGGTCGATAGGGAGAGCGAATCGGATCGGCCGCTGTGTGGAGTGTTGGTTGGTCGCTCGCTCGCTCGCTTTGGGTCCGAGGCAGAGTGGCGACGCCCATCGCGGCTGCTGCACTCTCTTCAGGGTCTCGCTCACAGAAGCGCGAGCCCAGTCTGCAGCTGTCAGTCGAGCTAAGTTCAACATGGCATAAATTTGAGGCCGCCTCGCTGCGGATCTGTGACGAAGCCCGTGCGCGGATTTCCATCCGATGGGCCCAAAATTGTGAATGCAGTCGATTTCCTCCCTATCGACGTCGCTCTCATACATCTCGGAAGCCTTCCGCTCATCCTTGTCACACTCTTCGGCGCTTCCGACGAGGCGGTGGCTGCTGCGCTGCTGCTCATTCGTGCGCCAAGATGAGCGCTCCCAACCCCGCGCCGGATCGCAGCGTATCTGGGCAATCGCCATCCACTGCCCGATCCACCACCGCCAACGCATCCGCAGTGCATTTCCAAACCAACGAGGCTGCCGATGCCTCTCTCGATAGCATCGCTCCATCCTTCAACGAGCCGGCAAGCGACGATGCGCCCGAAGTCAGCTCCGATGACGGTCAGGGCTACGATCACTACAACACCTCCTACACCAATCCGGAGCGAAGGTCGAGCTCGTTTGGCATCGCAACCCCATCCCACGGCTTCCCCTCATCCTCCGCCTACAACTACAAGGCCATGATCAGCAAACACGGTCACGGATTCCCAGAGAGAGCCGAGTCCGTCCGCAACATCTCCGCCCTCGCCAACCTCGTCGACTATCGCTCCAACTACTTTGAAGATCACAGGCTCTCGGAAGAGGAGATCAAGCACCGCACAAAGCATCTCGGATGGTCCAAGGCAGCCGCCGTATCCGAATACTACGAACGTCTCAACGAGACACTCGACGGATGGAGAGAGGTCGACGAGATCCTCGACTCGCGCTTCCCAGACGAAGTCATGCGTCGCTTCCTCCACCAAGACCAGATCGCCGCAAAGAACAAACGTCGCAACCACCACCAATCCGCTGCAAAGCACAAGCGTCGCAACAAACAAGCCAGCAACAACGGTCACCGCGAACAGCCCGAAAGCGACGGCAATGTCTCGGACGAAGAAGAAACAGAAGAGGAGGATCTCCGCCGCAACAAGCGTTCCATCAAGCGCAGCTTCAGCGCAAAGGCCATCGACGCTTTCAGCGGCCTCTGGTTTGGGTCCTCGTCCAGCCCACGCATGAGCGACGGCAGGCGAGATCTCGAACAAGCTCGTCAGCCACGTTCCTCTTCAAGGACCCGCCAACCCAAGCCCTTCGACCTCAACTCGGCCACCGAAGAGGAAGAAGAAGACGATCACAACGATCGCGCTCGTGCTCCAACTCGACAGCTCCTCTCTTCCTCACCTAGCGCCACCGACGACATCCGAAAGACCTCGGCACGCAACGACTACGGCGCCACCTCGGCCTCCTCTGCCGGGCAGCTCTTCGACAAGCTTCGTCGCGAGGGCCGCATCGAGCAGATCCGTCGTTCCGAGTCCCAGCTCGCCCTCGCTTCCGGCGCCAACTCGCCAGCTTCCGCCAGCGGCACACAAACGCCCCAGGAAGACATCTCGTCCTCAGGCTCCAAAGCCAACACCATCAGGCCTTCACGTGTCGACGCCATCTCTGAACACGCCGATTCCACCACCAAGCCAGCCAGTGCGGACAGACATCGATCCAGCATGAATCGAGACCCGAGCACCGAACGCTACCACCGTCCCTACGCTTCCCAAGAAGAAGAGAGGCGGGCGCTCCTCAGCACCGTTCCCAGCCGTGCAAAGGAGGAAGAGACCTCGCGCTCCGTCCAGTTTGCCATCAACATCAACCTCCTCATCAACATCCTCCTCCTCGCAGGTAAGGGCGTCGCCGTGCTCTCCTCCAACTCGGTCTCCCTCATCGCCTCGTTTGTCGACAGCGCACTCGATCTCCTCTCCACCATCATCATCTTTGCCACATCCAAGGCCATCGCCTACCGCTCCTGGAAGACCATCTACAAGTACCCCGTCGGCAAACAGCGTCTCGAGCCCCTCGGCGTCGTCATCTTTTCCGTACTCATGATCGCCTCCTTCGTACAAGTCTTTATCGAGTCCGTCGGCAGGCTGCGCGAGGTGCTCGCCACGGGCAGTGAGGATTCCGAGTCCGCCGCCAGTCTGCCGCTCATCGGCATCGCCTTCATGCTCGCCACCATCGGCATCAAGACCGTCATGTGGCTCTTATACCGCTCCTCCAAATCCTCCGGTGTACGCGCCGTCGCCCAGGATGCCGAGAACGACGTCGTCTTCAACATCGCCTCGCTCATCTTTCCCATCGTCGGCTCGCGCCTCGGCTGGCCTGCGCTCGACCCCATCGGAGGTATCGCGCTCTCCATCTACATCATCTACGAGTGGATCGAGACGCTCTGGGAGACCGTCTCCAAGCTGTCGGGCGCCGTCGCTTCCGCCACCGAAATCTCAAAGTGTCTCTACTGCGTCGTCCGCTTCAACTCGGTCAACAGCGTATCCGCCTTTGAGCTCTTCCACTCGGGCGACAACCTCATCGTCGAGGCCGACATCGTCCTGCCCCACTCCATCTCGCTCAAAGAGTCGCACGACCTCGGAGAGATCATCACCTACTGCACCGAAAACATCACCGGCGTAGAACGCTCCTACATCCACCTCGACTACAATCCCAAGGGTCAAGCCGGCCATCTCACCCAGCGGGGATAGCCCGTGCATCCCACCTTCCTTTCCCTTCGAATTATTCCCACAGAGCCACTAGATTGATACGGACGGTAATACAGATTGCAGCACCAGTATGCACGCATGCTCGCTTCAAAGATGTGCAAGGACATGAGAGCTCCAAGCAGACTAGAACCCGCTCGCGCGTTTCTTCTTCTTGGGAGGTCGGTCGGTGTTTGCTGGACGTGCTCCAAAGCGACCCGCTTCGACCTGGGTGTAGGCCGTCGTTGCAGCTGGGCCAGGGCCGCCGACCTCCGATGCGATCAGTGATCCAAATCGTGGAGGAGCCGGCTGCGTTTGGGCAGCGTCAAACCTAGGTGGAGGCGTTGGTGACACTGCCAGCACCGACATTGGCGGCGTGTCGTTGCGCGGCTGTGCGCGTTCCGCTCCCGGCGCACGCAAGGGTTGCGAACGTGAAATCACGCCGCCATGCGGCCGCTTCCGCCTCGACACAAGAGTGGGCGGTGCAAGCGACGACGAGCCCACAGGCTGACTGTGCGACGCCAGCGATGGCGGATAGGATGAGCCCGGCGCAGGAGACGAATGACCTTCCGGCTGCGAATACGATCCACCCATAAAAGGCTTTCGACTTCGGCTGCGGCTCCTCGAGCGATCCTCGGTCGAGGCGCTGGATGCGCGTGAGAAGGAGCGAGAGCGTGCTCTGGCCGAAGAGCCTCGCAGTCGACTCGCCCTCGGAAGCCGATGCAGACCCTCGAACGGATCGACGTACGTATACTCGTTCGGGTCCTCACCCAGCTGCCACTCTGACAGCAACAGGCGTGCCGTCGACGAAGTGCTCGGCAGCAGACGCTCCAGATCCGCACCACTCAGCCCCTGACCGTCGCTGCTCTGGCTCGCGGATGCCGTCGCTGCGGCTTCAAGATCGTTGCTGCGCAGCGGCGCAAAGAACGACAGCCCGATGCTACCGACGTGCGGTGGTGGCATGGTGCCTCCCTGCTCCTCGACAAAGGCAAAGATGTCGCGGTGTTCGAGCGGCGTCCAATTGGTGCCGCGCCGCTGCTGCGGCCTCTGCGTCGACGCGCCCTCGTCCAGGATGCGAGCCTTGGGTCGCACAAAGACCTCGGTCTCTAGCGCTAGATCGAGCGCCATGCGTCGAGCTGCATCGCGCAACGACCGTTGGACAGCAATTCGCTCGGTCGAGTTCCAAGACTGCACTCGGGTGCGAGAAGCAAGGTACGGAGCCACTTCGCTCTGGCCTTCCTTGTGACGAAGGGCATGCTCGAGCGGATCCACATCGCCGGTGATGGCCGAATCGATGCCATCGACCGTCTTGCCGAGTTGCGATGCCGCGGTTGCCGAGCGCGACCATGCATGCTGCGCCGGAGACACGCCGAGCGAGGAAAGAGCGTGGCGAACTTCTCTTCGGAGTGCCATGATGCTGGACTCGGCTGCTTGCGCGCCTCCCTTGCCGTCCAGAGGATCGGGCACGTTCGACCACGAGGCTTTGGAGCTCGAGTCCTCCTGTGGCTTCGGCGTGCTATCAAGACAGGAATTGCGGAGCAGCTGACCAAGCGTCAGAGTGGATGCTCGGGCCGATACATGCGCCGTGGTGGATTCTACAGACGATTGACGAAGACGCTCTGTCAAATCGGCAGTTGTTTCGACGTCGTTCTGCACGCGCCCGTATGGACGCTGTCGTCTTGAAAAGATGGCTTGCTGCAAAGAGTGGTGGTCGACGATGCGGGTTTTGACGTTGCTGAGCGAGTCAACTTCGAGCGTCGTTGCCGATTGTGTGACAGAGTCATGCAGGTAGAGTTGTGTTTGGACGAGCGGCTCCGCCACTTTGAGCTCCGTGCCGAGCTGAGTCTGCGAGGCGCTTTCGCCAAGTGGATCATCATCGAGCCTCAACATCTGGGCCGAGAGCATGCCGCGTTCCGTGATGTGGAAGCTGAGCCACGATGCCGGGAAACGCTGTTGCAATAGAAGCTCGGTGGTGCCAACATAAAGCGGCGGAGCCCCAAGCCGGTGCTGATGCGACGATACGAATGGCGAAGGGAGAAGTGAGGGCACGTCGCCGAGCTTGTAGAGCTCCTCGCCGCTGTCTGCGTTCGAATCTGCGTCTCCAGCCAAGCTCGAGTCGACGTTGACGGTGTAGCACGAGATCACATTGTTGTTGCGAGAGGAGAGCGTCCACATGATCTTGTCGAGGTTGCTGTTTTCCGGCGCAGTATTGATGCGCGACCTCTCCATCCGAGGGAGATGAGTCAAGGCCAGAGTGGGATCGTCGCCACGATGATGTGCGGTGGCAAAGAGCGGACGAAGTTCGTGGCCGAGGTGGAACCAGTGGATCGACTCGGTCGAGCAGACGGCCAAGAGCGGATGTTGTAATTGCGACGATGCTGTAGCCATGGAGACAAAGCGCGCTCGACGGAAGGAGGCGGTGGAGAAGCTCGACTGAAAGACGGAAGCAACGCGCGCAGTCGGTGCGGCATCCGTAACCGCATCCGCGCTTTCCACACTGATACCGAGGATCGAATGACGAGAGAGTAGGATGATGCTATCATCTGCTGCGCCAAACGCGATGCGAAAGGGTCCCTCAAAGGAAGGTTGTTCGTTTTGTACCGGCTCCGGTGCCGAGGAGCTGTCGGGGTCGCGCGAGTCTGTCTGCAATTGCCACTGCTCGATGCAGCGGCCCACGTCGATGTGTCGCACATGACCGGGGAGAGCAGCGCTTTGTGGCGAGGTTTGTGAGGGCTGAGCATGCTTTCGCCATTCTGCCGATCTGGACGCGGAGGACGGAGGAGGTGGTGCTGATGCGTCTGTTGAAGATGATTCCGGTTCTGAGCTTCGGGAATCTGGGTTGCAAGCCGGAAGGCGGTACATGGTGATGTTTCCCGCACGATCAACAGCAGCTGCAGTGTTGGGGGTATACGGGCTAAAGACGACGTCGTGGTGCTGGGTGGAGCCGTCTTGGCCGAAGCGAGCATGGTGGATCGGATGGAGCTGGGGGCCGTCTTGGAGCGCGGAGGCATCGGGTGGGCCAAGCGAGAAGAAGGTGGTAGCCGAGTGAGTCCGCACAGCGAGTTGCATCCGATCCGAGGACGCGACAATCTGTAGGATCGGAGTCGCGAACGTTTGCTGTGCTTGGTGAGCGGGAATGAATCGCAGAGCGTCTGTCTGGGTGGACGGCAGTTCTGGCAGCGCTCGAGTGGACGCCTCAGCTTCCGAAGTCTGCACAGCAAAAGCGCTGTCATCTTGGCTCGGAGCATTAACTTGAAGCTGGTGAACTAGAAGCAGATTGCGGTGGGATCCGCCGATACACGCCACTGCATAGACGCGCTTGTCCGGCAGAGCGAGCGGACCAAGCAGCGCGACAGCCTGTGCATCAGCCAGGCCGATGGCTCCTCCGTCGAGCGAGCAGCCGCGTTCATGGATGTCGCGAGCACTCTCGTCAAAGACCTGGGCGAGGATGTAGTCGGGTATCTCGATGTCGGGTTGATGGCTGCGCAGGAAGCGCTGAGCTGCGAGGATGTCTGCATCGATGGAAGCGGAAGCCTCGTCGTCGGTAGCTGGATACAGGCTGCGGGTGGCGGATGAAGCCAGCGTTGTGGCTGGAGTGAGCGTGGCGCTGTGGGAAATGCCGGACGAAGTGGTCAAGGGCGAGGTTGCGAATCGAGCGTCACGGCAGGTTTGATCGCTCTGAAAGGTCCACCGCTGGGAAGGCAACACGCCGATGTTGGCATCATTGCGAGACGGCCGAGCGCCGGGATGGAGGCGGAGCGCACCTCGCGATCCCGCTGGAATGAGATCCATGGGGCGAGAAGCGTGGATGACAAGCGTGTTCGCATGCGACCGGCGCACACAACGAGGTGGTGAAGGAAGGGTCGAGCGGAGGAACAAACGGACGGATCCACGACCAAAAAAACAGGTGCCAACCGAAGGACCCTGGCTCGCGCGCTCCACTTCTTCCGCTCCGACTTCCGATGCGAGCGCTCAACTCACCGCCCGCATCCGCATCCATCCATCCGCCTGTCGTCGCTCGTCCAGTCCATTGTCGTCTTTGCGGAACACAGCCGATGGTGAATCGATGCGCGAATGCTGCCTTCAGCCAATTGTCGCTGCAGCACCTTGCAGTCGCCCGACTCGATCATGAGGCGAGATGCTTCGGTCCAGACACTTCTCCGACGCGTCCAGTCGGTGAGAAACCAATTATTCGACGTGAAAGTTGACCACCAAATCGAACGAAAAATCGGACCGAAGTTAGAATCTTGAAGGATGGAACTTTAGACTTAGGTCATTAGTCTGTTAGAGTATGCTAGGGTTAGGGTTAGGGTTAGGGTTAGGGTTAGGGTTAGGGTTAGGGTTAGGGTTAGGGTTAGGGTTAGGGTTAGGGTTAGGGTTAGGGTTAGGGTTAG